AAAAAAAAGGAACCGAACGATAAGAAAACTTTTCTTTTTCTCTTTTGAGGTTAAAATAAACTTCATTCATGACAAATAAACAAGGACAATACTTTTCTCAAATGTTGTCATCATTATCAACACTTATTCACTCGGTTTTTTTTTCTCATTTACTTCAGGCAAATTGTCCGATGAATGTAGATGGTGAGCACTTATGTGATGAACAAGTACATGAAATACTTAACTAGAGGCTCTTTTTCCTCTTTCTCTCTCTCTCTCTCTCTTTTCACTACAACGAACGTCTGTCAGAAACATTGTTACTAAAGTTGTTATTGTTATTGTTGATGCACACCAGTTTTGTTACTTGTCAATTGAAGTATGTTACTCTTTTAAATCGATGTAAAATGCTCTCTTATATATTTTCTTTTAAAGCAAGGTGAAGAATTTTGATGATCTAAGATGATGGTTTAGATGACGAAAAAGAAAAATCAGTACTTTCCTTCATTTTTTTTTCTCAAGATACTTGAAATTATGATGGGAGAGATCAGTGAAAGAATTAATTTCTTTTTACTGATCCCTAAAGGCTTCCCTATATATAGATATGACAAAGAGAAGCTTTTCATGGCTGTTTTCTTTTCATTTGATGGCAATTGTCACCTTTTCATATTAAAAGAGAGAATTGAATCAAGTATTAAACATGGATTTTCTTTAATATTTTTTAGTCTAATAATCAATATTAGAATATCAAAAATAATTGTTCGATATTTTACTTTTTCTTTTTGGAGTGCAGATTTTGACAGGTGTTCGAGATATATAGATGAGTGTCAACGATAAGTATCAATAAAAGTATTGGCAAACAATACTTCAACAAAGACGATTTATTCTGTTGTTTTTGAGAAGATTATGAATCGTTTTTGGAATATTTTCAATTACAAATTCATTAATAAGAAAAAAAAGAACGTCAAGAATCTTTTAAGGGAAAATATTTTATATTTATCATTAATCAAAATCTTTTTCAATCTAAAAATACAATCAATACAAAATCCATAGAAAGTATTGTTTCAAGTTCTGAAATCATATAAATTAACCAGAGTTAAAATAAAATATACTCAGATAATTAAATAATAAATCTATTGAAATAAAATAACTACGAAGTTTATAATTAATATTCATTTCTACGATATAACAAGAAAAAAAAAGTAGACATGATATTTTAATGTATCAATTAGACTTTGAGTAGTTTAATATAAAATATGAATTTATAACTAATAAATGACAGATATGTGACAATATACTTAATATTCAATGTTAAATTTGCATATTTTGTAGGAAAAAAATATGAATTAATTATGATTTCTTATTCTATCGATTTAAGCAACGTGTTTTCATTTATCCTACTATTGAATATGATTCTTAACCACAAAATTGAATAAATTAGCTTTTATTATATATTAAAATTTAATATAAATCTTGACATTTTTGTCAAAATCATATAAAATAGAAATGATGACAAGCATAATGGATCATACAATTAAGCAGTAAATTCTAAGAAAATGAAAAATTTTATTATTCAAGTTAACAAATATATGAACAAGTTAGAATTTTAAAAATAAGAGATTTTATAATAGTTTAATATGCCAATAATATCATTATGACTTGTTGTACTGTTATTTAATAAAGATACTTCTATTTATTCTTAGTTTTATTAAACAATATGATTTAATAACAAGTTCTAAATTTTTATCATATATACTGACATGTTTTTATGTTATTATATTTTGTAAATTTGATTCTCAGATTGATTATTCATTGATTTCCCAAATAAAATAAATAATCAAAATGGCATGTGACATATTTTGACATTTATGATCAATATATTTAATTACTGATTTCTATTCAATAATGTAACCAAGTAATATATTACATAGAAGATAGAACACTATTTTAATTAAATGATTCGATATAACACAATCAAAACTACTAGATCGAAATATTTTCCAGTTGACTTTATTTATATATAATCTCACAATAAATTTTGCAGATATACACATATTCATCTCTATTGGAATTTACTTTATTATATCAATATATTTAATGCAAACTATTACTAATATAGTTGTATTCTTTTTTTTCCATTCATATGCATATTTTTCTGAGTATATGTAGTTCACTTCATGTCATGATAATGATATATGCAAATATTTCCATACTAAGCAATCTATTTCATTCGATTTAAAAGGGTTCAGATGGATGTGAGTACAAACTATTAATTAGAGTTGAGCAACAATATTGTGTTAATTGTAACTCAAACAAATTTTATTTTGAAAACGACCACAATTCCGAGATTTTTTTTTTATCACATCAAAACACTTGTCAATCGTGAATACAATAGAAATGTTTTTAAAAAGAAAATTCAATTTTTTCTTCCAAATAAGTGTCACTTTGAGTAATGGTTGCAGGTGATTTTGTTTTTCTAATTCTATTGAATAACCTTGAATTTTTTTATTCTACTCAAAACTTTTATTTCAAGTGTTTAGACGATCATTAAAAATAAAATCTACTTTTTACGATTAATTCTTCTAACTCAATTATTAATCACATTCTATACAAATCGTGAAAAACATTTGAGTAAGATAAGACGCATCTAATACTTATAGTTTTATCAACAAAACAAATACTAGCGACGAACAGATTATATGTCTGATACTTTTGATAGCAAATTTTTTTATACATTCAATAAAAAATCATTTGAGCAAATTCTATATCGAATTAATTGATTTTTTTTATAGACGATCATAAATACATGATAATAAATTATCCTAGGCAATTTTTTTCTCGGATCAATTTCATAAATTCTTTTCTTTTTCTCGTCTAGTTGTATTAGAATTTAAATCTAATCGTATAAGATTTCATTTTTTAAATCGATTTTGAAGTATGAAAGAGTGTTAATCAACATTTCTTTTCTTCTAATAACAAATAAAAAAAATTTGGTTGCTAGTTATTTTGAATTCAAACATTGTCGACAATATATCTTCACCACTACAACTTTCATCATTATAGTTCGGTTAACATCCAAACTCAAATACAGGTTTCTTTTTTTCTTTTCTGTTTTTTTTCTTTGATTACTTTCTGTTCTTCATTTTTGGCATCGTCTATTTTTCTTTTGTTACAAGTAATGAAAGTTTCTTTCTTTTTTTTTTTAAAAAAATTTTTTCTCATTTTCTTTCGTTGTCGTTAAGTAGAAGAATAGAGAAGGAAGAGAATACCGTCAATGATTTTGTAAGCGAACGAAGAGAAATGGGCATCTATTTTAGTGATGATTGTGACATGCATATCGTTGTTTGTGTATGTTAATCGTTGCTGGCAACAACAGAAGAGAAGAGCATTTAACAATTTATAACTTTCATACCTATTTGTATATTTTCTAATCTCTAGATAATACATAAAGATTAGGTCGAACGATGATCGTTCAATCGGCACCTCTTATAGTAAAAGACCGGAATCAACCTAATCGAGAATGTCTTTATGCATGGTATCCAGAGATTGCACCTCATGCAAATACGACAACAACAATAGGACCACGAGATGTTTATATTTATAAAGGCATAGACAAAGATCTTTTACAGCAAAATTCACAAACAAGCGGATGTAAGTTATATATTGATTGTTTTGACTAGGAATAAAGTATATACTCAATAAATAAAGAAAAAATTGAACTTTTATCACAATTTTTGTTTTCTTTATCAATATCATTTTCATAGAAATTTTATTATTCTAGCAATCAACAATAATGATAGTAATCTTGATGTTGTACAACGTTATAAACAAAGTATGGCACCGAGCCAACGTGCATATCATTCACCTGATACACTTGATGAAGCATTACGAACACCATGGGCATTACATTATGAAATAGAACGACGACCAGCTACACCAAATTTTCCATCACAATCTACTGATAGTATGTTAAAAACAAAACTATTGTTGCTAAGTAGACAGATGAATAAACGGAACATGTGTTTTATGTCAAGAAATAGGTTTTCTTCCTTTTCCTTTTTCTCAATGTAAAATTGCGAGCATAATTACTAGACATAGCATTTCCATTCTATTATAATAGTCACCTGCTGATATTATTTTCAAGTATCTATTAGTTCATAATTACCCTGTCTGCTATATTTCATTCAATTAAGACATATTCGCAAATATTTTATTAGAAAAAAAAAAGAAACATTTTTATTTATTCCATTGTTATGATGAAAGACAATATTCAATCGTTATGATGAAGTATTGTATATAGTCATACGAGATTTTTTACGCAAACAAAAGTTTTACATTAATTATTTTATCAGAACGGAAATAAAAATGTTGCTTTCATGCATTGTGTATCGTCTTTGATGAAAACCAAGAAAAAAAAAATATTTTATAGCTGTGTCTATGATTTTTTTTAATCAAATAAAATTACTGTTAATGTTTTATAATTGATAAAAAATTCCTTGAAAAAAAAAACAAAGTATAATATTAATTCTATACTTCTTTTTTGTGTCTTATCAATGTTTATTGGTTATTGTCAAGATGTTTCTTATTGAGCTATGAGAAGTTTTCTTCCGCTTGAAAAGTATCAATCAAAGATCAAACCTTTTCTTTTTAGTACCAATACGTGAAGAAATACCACGTCGTCTGAAGAGTGCTCCAGTTGTTCGTTCACTTCCATCAACATCCGTTCTTACTATTCCTGAGCCACGATTTGTAACTCCGATGATTCCAGTTCATACAGTTCAAACACCTCAATCACTATCAGTAGACAAACCTAGAAGTCGAGCTTCATCTGCTAAAGCACGTCTTAGTACAACAGTCTCGCGTAATAATGAACAAATGAATGATGTTCAACAGCAACGTCGAGAAATTAAATCAGCACCAAGAATTCAACAACAAATTGAAATTAAATCAGTGAATGGAGATAATCAGAATAGTTCTACACAAGTTTATGTTGATACAATAATAAACCAACCAGGTTTATCTATTGCTTCAACACCACCATCACCATCACCAGCTGTTTATGTCTATCAAAAATCTGCTAGTTGGTGTGGTAATGAACAACAACCCCTTCGTACGACAGCTGAAATAAATCCTACTCCAGTCAATCCATATTATGTTCGTCGATCAGGTGTTGTTTCAGCTAAAAATGTTACGAAAAAAGCTGTTCTACGAGAAAATTCATTTACAAAACAATCAAATAGACATCGTAGACGGCATTATCAACATCATCATCATCAACAAGATAAACGAAATCAACCATTAATTGCTACAACACCAATACCACAATCAGGCAAATATCCATTTGAAATCGACGGTACCAAATTACTCTATGATCCAACATTAAAATTAGATGATTCATCATCTAATTTAAAAAAATATCTTATTGAAGGTCGTTTATATTTAATAAAAAATCAACGTTATAATGTTATAGAAACTGTTGAACCAATACCGACAACAATCACTGAAACAAATACTCAAGAGTTAACGTAATTAAAAAAGAAAATAAATATTCGATAAAAGTCTATCTTATTTTTGATTATTTTAGTCTTCCTCCACGTCCAAAATATTATCAAACAATTCCGGTTGAAAAATTTCAAATACCTAAACCAGCACCAGAAGTACATTATAATGCAAATGAAACCTATTTTTATAATACAATGCCAAAACGTGTACATCGTTATGTAATCGATCCAAATTTTATTTCTGAAAATCTTAATATCAATAAAATGTCTTTATCAAAAAGACCTTTAACCGCAACTGTTGTTCCATCATCAATGAATGATATTAATCGACAATCAACTGTTTATGCATGAAATATCAATAAAGAAAACTGATATAATTATTGTTTTTTTTTTGCTTTATTCTTGGTGATCGTTCTTCTTCTTCTTCTTTGTGCTCTTTTTTTATATGACAAAGAAAAAACAGAAAATTAGGTGTGTCTATACATCCATCATCATTATCATAATTATATCGTTGAAAACAATAAGTCTGACACGCATACAATAATTGAAAAATTAAAGAAAAGAAAGTTAGGAAATTCATCATATTTGTTGAATAGATTGATTAGAACATCATAATATTTATAACTGCTTATATATTTACACATCTTATCATTATTATGATGACAATAATGGTAATGATGATGATGACATGAATTAAATCGATGATGAAAGCAAAGAATTTTCTTTATTTTGACGTCATTCAACTTTTTTTTTTCTTTCGCTCTCTCTCTCTCTCTCTATTATTTTTATTATTGCAAGCCAAGCGGATGCTGAATAGATGACTGAAAACAGCACATGCTAAAAAATTCTATCTGGGTATTTTCTTTAGATAAAGAAGGGTCTCAGATAATTGAACAAAAAAAAATAGCTCATTCCTTTTTGACGACAACAGTCCTTGTTAGTCGGTCTATTGCGAGTATACCCGTGGCAGCACTCAACCAAATAGTAAGAATAGGAAAAGACGAAGAAGAAAAATAAGGAGAAGAAAAAAAGAGAAAAGAGATGCAAGTCTTTGTAAGACTAGATCTATCAAAAAAAAAGTAGAACGTCAAGAGACATATTAATTGAAAAAGTATATGAATAAAATTGACAACAAAGTTCTGGTTCATATATTCGTCCACTTCTTATAATAACTTCACTATCGAATAAATCATCATCAATAAAACATACGAAGAAAAAAAGGAAATTCTGGCGAGCTGGTGAGTGTATTCATATTAGTGAGATTGCTGAATAGTAAGCAAATATGCAAATTAATTTTTATTTCTCCTCAATTCTCTCATCAATTTTTATATTCATTGATTAACAAAGCACATATAATAGAGAAGAAAAAAAAGAAGGCTACATTATCTTGTCTTATTTATTTGTTTTTTTTTTCTTCTTTATTATATATTTCTTTTTCATCAGAGAAATCAGTATTGATCATGAGAAAGAAAATAAGATTGTAGTAGACCTTTTTCTTCTTAGAACTAAATCTTCCTTTATTCGTCGTAGTTTATCCCACTAAATATTTATATTAATACGTGTAGTTTATTATAAATATAGTTGTTTATTCAACTATATTATTCCCCCTATTATATCGATCTATCTAAAAATATATTGTGTAGTATTTGTTGTTCGTTTTATCTTTATGGGAACGAAGAAGAAGAAAAAAAGCGTTGTATCCCTTAGTTTTCAACGGAAATTTGATCGATTGGTATATTATTGCTATGATCGGAGACAGAAGTACAAAAAAATGATGAGTATGTTGTGTTGTGTTTTGCATTTTATATCAAATAGGGTGTGAACGCAAAAAAGAATCAATCATAAAGTTGATTCAATCACTTAAACACACGTCGTTAGATATATTTTTCGCGTCGATGCATTTAGTTAATTGAAATTGAAATACGAAGATTGGTAGGAAAGACATATTTGAAGAGTACATATACTTCTCTCTTTTCTTTTTTTCTAATTAGAAAAGAATAGTTTTCTTTTTTTTTTTAGTTTATTTTTTTTATCTATTCAACGATGTTTATATTTCTATCGGAAATACAATATGTCGTGTTGTCATTATATTTTTTTCAAATAACACTGCAACTTTCCTATTTGCATATTGCGTGTTAATAGGACAGATAGATATGAAAATCAAAATCTCTATTCTGCTTCTATACAATACTTCTTTCTCGATTTTTAATAACTAGATTAATGAATGCGTATTGTAATATATTATTTATTAGTTTTTAATAGCAACCTAAGAATAATCAATAGAATATGCATGAAAAATCTCTTATTTCTCTTCTTTTTTTTCCCTCTATTTCAATTATGTTCAAAATAAATGAATCCAGTCTTGTTGTTTTTTTTGAAAAGGAAACAGGAAGCTTTTACTTTAATACAAGAGGAATAAGTGTTCTTTAATAAATAAAAATTAAAAAAAAAAACGAATTTTTTTTCTTCTAAACAAATGAGATTCTTTTCTTGACCATGAAGTTTTATAGATTCTTTTTTTGTTTTTTGTTTACAAATAATCAGCATTCATCGTACAATATAGTAAAAGAAAATCTCTATATATTGTTCTATTCAAGCGAAAGAATCTTCATTTGTAAGTTTGCTCTTCATCATCATTTTCTATTTTTTTTTCTTTTTGTTTTTTCCTTTTCTTCTCAAAAGATTACACAGTAGCGGCAATGCATCTATCGATTCATTCTTGACGAATATTAGTTTCGAAATGTTGTTACGCGTTCATATTGGTTCTATAACGATCATGTAAATGAGAGAAAAAGCACATCTATAGAACAGTATGCTGATGATGAAAAAGTCCTTCTCGAATGCAAATATCTATATAGAACTATCACTAATAATATTATCTATTTCTTCTTTTTTTTCCTCCAAATATATATATATATATATATATGCTTTTCGTATAAAACAAAAGAAAGAACAATATTTTTTTGATTTACATGAGTAAGTCGAAGTTAAAATTAAGACCATTTATCTGTTTGTTTTATTGATATTTTATCATAAGAATTTTGTCACATAACAAAAGAAGAATCGTTGACAGGCGATGTCATCTTAAGATGACAGATTCAGGGTGTCGACAGATAGAAACCCATCATGAGATTTTTATATATCAGCCCGGACTAATCGAGACGTTTACAAGTTATGTCTTAAAACTCTTCTAGCCTTCAAGTAACGACAGTTAATCAGTGCAATTTAGTCTAAATAGTAAATAACATTTGATTGTATGTTTTGTTTTACTATTGTTTGTAAAATTAGTAAATAGATAGATATATTTAGCAGAAGGGAAAATGAGTTTATGACGATATATGTTTATTTATCATTATAATAACATTTATATCCTACAAGAAAACATGAAGGTGAATAATTTTTCTTGCGCTTGATTGAACAGAAAAGAAAAATATTGGATCTATTTCTTCTCCTTTTCTTTTTTTTCAAAAGAAGCACTTTAAGAAAAAAAATTATAACGGTTGAATGGAACGTGTTGTATAGAAATTTTCATCGCTACAAAAAAACTAACTAGCAAAGAAGATGACGCATATTACTATTTTTATAATCAACAGCAACCACTTTTATTTAAAATAGCAAGCAAATTTTGTAAGTCTGTTTATTCTTGCCTTTTATTAAAAAAAAAAAAGAAAGTTATTAAATTATTCTCTCGGATCTATTTTTATCAATATATACTTTGAAGCTTTAAGAAATTAATATAAGATGATACTCAGGTGTACTTTTAATTAATAGCTAATACTGAATCTTAAAACAAAATTACATGTACCTAGTAAATCTATATATATATAGAAGTTATTATAGATAGTCCGACAAGAAAAATGAAATGATTCCCAGGAAATATTATTTCCTATCATTATAATAGTTAAATATTGTTGAAGAAAAGATATATTCAATAGACGTTATAATGAGAATGATAGTAGTAATGTTTTAAAAAAAAAGGACTAGACAAGCAACGATTTCCTGAAGACAACTAAATACTAGATAACAGATTTTTGATAGGATATATCATTTCTTTCATCTCATCATTTTCATAAGTCGAATTGATCTCGTTATACTGTTTATTAACAGTAGACGACCGTTTTCTAAATCAAATCATATAGATCAGGCGACAAATGACGAGCTCTCAGTTTTCTATCTATTCTCATCAATGATAGGCTAATAGTAGTTGGCATGCGTATGTGTCTGTGCATGCTTTGACAATAATCTATATACTTCATGGAGCAGAAGAGAGAATAGAAAGAAGAAGAAGAGAAAAAAAAAGAATAGTCGAGTACCAGAATTCATCATGACGCTATTTTATAAGTATCTATCGTTCGTTGGGTAAGAAGATGTCATTGAAAGATAAAGTTGCATGTTTTTTTTTTGCTATGTCTTTCAGCAATGATGTTGATATTCTATAGGCGGGTAAAATGAAACATTAGAAAAGTAACACGCTATGAACATCTATTTAGCGTAAGAGATAATAGACTAATACATATATCTTGAAGTTAGTTCGAGCACATCAAATTCGCTTTTAAGAATGCAAGAAAAGAACAAGCAAAGACAAGAGCGATCGAAATCTCAAGAGAATCACACGCAAACACACATAGACAAAGTTAGAAAAAAAAACTGAATAAAAAATAAAACTAACAATGAAATTGTTTGAGTATAACGACTAAGTATATTTTTACATATCTCATAGGAAATGCAGAAACAACAGAAAAAAAAATAAAAAGCAAAACAAAATGTAAAAAAAAACAAAATGAGAAAAATAATTTATTTCGATTAGTTATTTTGAGATTCTCTTGAGATTGAAGTTAGTTTATAACTATACCATTTGTATTTCTTATATTAAAAAATAAACAATGTAATATATATACTCGTAGAATCTACAACTGATATCATCTAATCGTTTACATGCAACACATGTTTCATTGCTTCAGAGTTTCCTTTGCTTCTTTTTTGTCTATTTGATTCGAAATAAATATGTCAGAACAAAATCTATTACATCTGTCGTTCGAACAAATGTTGTTACTTTTGTTTTGTCCTATATTGATAGAAGACTATATATATGCGTGTGCAGACGAGCAAACGAAAGAATGATCGTGCAAATAGATATCTCCTGAGATTTATTCGGAGAAATCACTACTATATGAACATAGATATTGATTTTTTCAGAAAAAACTAAAATCGATCTATCATAATATATGTAAGGCCATTGATTTTATATTAATATAAATTTCTTTTTTTTTCTAGACGAAAATAAAATATGAAGATCTAAAATGATAATAATTCTAACGACGATATGAACTATGAATACAACAATAGAATCAGTTTCTATTAAAAATATTGTAGCAAAACGATCAACTGATGATAATTTTGATACACAATTATTAAATTTCTGTCAATTATTTCGTTTGTATTCAAGTATAATCCTTGTCATTGTTGGTAAATATGTCAATCTATCAAAAAACTAATTAAATTATTCTGATATTTGTTTTTTTTTCTTCTTCTTCCATAGGTATGATTGGTTCTATGCTTTCAATAAAAGTTTTTTCCTCGACTAAAATCCGACGAAATTCATCTAATGAATATCTTATAACAAGTAACAAAAAAAAAAGCTTTGATTTTTCTATTGAACATAAAAAATATTTGTGTTTTTTTTTTCTATAAATCTAGTGAGCTTTGTTGTTGCACTATTATTATTTAATTATTTTTGCGATGAAGTTCTTCGATCGATTGTACGTGTTCATCATATTAATTTACCAATAAATCTTGTTGATTTCTCGGGACCACTTTGTAAATGTGAGTACAACCAAATAATATATATATATATAAAGCATTCATCTTCAATTTGAACTTTATATTGAAATGTTATTCTATTATTAGACAAGCTTTTGTTCCTAACGATCATTAGATAAACTAACCGAAACTAGCATTAGTATTACTTAAGTAATATTGGCTATTAAATAAGATGCAATTTTTTAAGAAGGTCATGACATATAAGACAAGGAAATCATTTTTGAGCTGTTTCATTGACAAAAAAAAAGATACTTAATTCTTAATACTATTCGATATGAATACATAGAAAAAAGAATTTCTAAGAATTTAAGCTGTTCTTAGACTATAAAACTCGAATTATTGAATTATTTCTATTGACATATTATACGATCAGCTGAAGATTTTGACATTTATATAAGTATCTGTGCATTACGTAAAATATGTTTCTAAATAAACATATCTTAATTGATAGACAGACAGACAGACGGACAGCGAATAATTCAAGCAAATCATAAATATACTTTATTATAAGTTTGACATAATTATTTCGTCAGTTATATCTTAATGTATATAAACATTTCTTCTTAATTTTATACAACGATGATAGAAATTATTGTAAACGTTAATCTAACTCATCATGCTATAATATACATAACTATTCGAAGTTATAATTTGCTCTTTTTTTATTTATATTCAATTACGATTATATAGCATGATATATATATTCTAAAAGTAGTCTTTAGATCTTTCTTAATGATTATCTCTGATCTATTTATAACTTCGTACACAGTAGTGACTAATAAAATACAAAATGAGATTCCCTGTGATGATTAATAACCTTGTCGATTCGAATCAGATTAACGAGAATGTATATTTTGTAACTCAATGATATAGTATTACTTTTTTTTTCTATCTATCTAACTTTACACATTAGATACGTAGAATATTTAAAGAAATACAAGAAGATAATCTTAACTATCTATAAATATCGTTCTTATCATACTATACTTTTACATATAGATTTCATTTATTAAAAAAAAGAACAAGGCAAAAAAACATTTTTTTTTTCTTTTTAATTATATGCATAACAACTAATTACAGTATCACTCAAGCATAAAAATTGATTAGATATAAACATTCTAGTAATTAAATGGAATAAACTTATTTTTTCATAAAATAAACTAAAAGAAAGATAAATTAAGTTTTTTATAAAAATATCAATCTTTATTCGTACTATTAAAATTTCTTCTAGGTTCAACTTATCTTCGTCATACATTACGTTTTGCTGCTCATTGGATAGTTGTTGCATTTACATTAGAACGTCTTATTGTTGTATATTTTCCATTACAAACATCTGTCTTATGCAATCCACGTAGTGCTAGACGGATATGTTTATTTATATTAATTATTTCATTTTTATTACCATTTTATTCATTTCTTATGTCCGATGTTGTTGTTGATATCGAAAATAATCGCACACCCGAATGTGATATAATGAAAAAATATGAAAGTATTTATTTTTATTTAACAACTATTTATGGTAATTTAACATTAACATTTCCGATATTAATTGTTTGTATTGTTAATATATTAACTGTTCGACAATTACTTCGAGCAGGACGTTTACGGAAAAAACAACAACAACAACAACAATTAAGTCAAACAAAAAAAGTTGATAGTGCAAATAATGAATATGTAAATATGATTGTTAAAAATCAATTAGAAAATGATAAAGTAACATGGATGCTTGTTGTTATATCAATAACATTTGGTATATTAAATTTTCCATATTTTATTCTTTGGTTAATTATTTCTATAATGCGTGTACGTCATATAACCACACCAGCATATATGCATGCAGGAAGAATGATTGCAGAAGTATTTTATTTATTAAATTATAGTTTATACTTTTTTCTTTACGTTATATCGAGACGAAGTTTTCGTAAAGTTTTAATTGAAAAAATGCGTTGGCGTTGTGATTGGTTTGAACAATGGCGTTTATATGAAATGCGTCTTGATGCTGCCGTACATTCACAACAAATGCCAAGACAAGAACATACACGAAATGGAAATTCAAATATAGACTGTCATACATCATTAACAAATATACGTCCTAGTTCATCACGTCGTTTATTACCATTATCAACAATGCAAGATGAACAATTACTTACAACTACGACGACGACGGCGACGAATAATAATAATAACAACATATCAAGTCATATGATAACATCTGAAAAAACAAATGGAGTATATCCGTATGACTATGGAAATACTGTTTGAATAGAAGATGACTCTATTATGTGATGATGATGATGATGAATGTTTACTTTTATTTTTCCTTCCGGTGTATTGTAATTGATCTAAGTGTGCTCCCATTATATTTTCAATTCGTTTCTTTGTTTTTTAAAATATATTGATTAGATATGAAAGAGAAAGATGATGATGAATCTTTTTCTTGAATAAATTATACAGAGATCCATGATACTGAAAAATATATATGGTCTTTCGTCAAAATCTTGTGAGAAAACAACTGATTAATTTATTTATTCAACGGAAAAACAAAAACTTAGTTTCTGTCAATTATCTTAAATAAAAACCTCGAATGTTCTTCTATTCAATTACATCATATGTCTTTTAAGTACTAAAATCTATAGTCTATTAATAGTATGAAAACATATGAAAGTTAACAAGTAGAAAAATTGAATGTATGTTTACTATTATTGATACATCAATTCTTTCTTAAACATCAACAATAAAAATGTTTTTTGTTATCATTAATTATGATAAGATTTCCTTTCGGATACAGAAACATGAATATTATTAACAATCATATACCAATATGTAGTTTATTCAGTAAATATGTACTTGATCAACAAAGAATTTTCTCTTATTGAATATTATGCATCCTAGTCGATGATCTTCATTTATGTTGAGATGCTGCCTTTACAGCTGAGATTATCTAGGATGTATATTTTCATTGTACTGATACCTACGAGTTGAAAGATTTAAATATTTTGTTAGACATAAATTGTAAACTTTCTAATCATTATAAATAAACAAATAAAACCATCATATTGAATATTAATTTATGTCATTTTTCTTGCAAAGTTACTAATCATATGTGTCAAATTCATAAGAAGTACTTATTCTAATTCTGTCATTGTAATGATGACAGTGAGTAGACATTGATCAAACTAAGATCTGTGTCCCATGGAACTAAGTATGGATGTTCTAATATAATCAGTGCATATACAATGTCAGTAAACAATTTATTCAAACTAGGATACCCCCTACTTTCTCGGTTATTAAGAATTAAATTCGAAATTTTTTATATAAAACTCATTTAATTTTGTTTAATCGCGCGATTAATTATAAGAAATTCTGTGAGTAAATATAATGTGTTTAAAAACGAAGACATATTTTTTTTCCTATTGAATATCATAGAAAAAGTTTGATAAAGATCAAAAATGACAAGAAATCGAAATGCTATTCAATCAATATCTACGAAGAAATCCATAGATTTTATTTCAACTAATAAATTATTAAACAAAGAATCAATAACTCTGTCGACTATTGAGTAAATTCTTTTCGTCAATTTAATTAAATAAATATTGAAACTTATCTTCAGACAAAAACAAAGTCAAATCTATATGGATAATTTGACAAGCACTGAATCAAATCATCATGATATTAAACCAATTGTAAAAAGTTCATATCAAATACCTAGTCCAACAATTCTTTTACCCGGTGAATTTTCTTCATCACCGAAATCTACGACAAACATCAATACAATTATTAATAAAATTCAACGTTCTTCACCAATAGAAAATAATCGAAATTTGTAAATTAAATTTTTCTTATATACATTTAAATTAACTTAATATTATTTAGATCAATATTTAATCAACTAAATTTATTTCATTTAAAAAATCATATCATTGATGATGATAAAATTTCCGTATCAAGTATAAATCTAGATCAACAATCATTATCATCATCATCACAAATTTCATTGTCTAATACAACAATAACTACACAACAAATACAAACATCTCAACATATTTTCTCTCCAAAACAAACACCCGTTATATTACCAAACAGACAAATTCCAAATTCACGAATCTCACGTATGTTATAAACACTTTGAATATCTCAAGGTCATTGCATTTTTCTAGTATCACAAATGATAAATGATCTTGATAATACAAATCCAATTTTATCTCAAGATATCGAATCATTTCCATTTAAATTATTTCGTGATCGAATAGATAATGAAAATATTCAATTTGAACGTCCTATTGATACATCACCTCAATTAAAAATACATCAAGAAATAAAACATGTACAAAAGCGAAGATACTTCGAAATAATAGTTTGTTACGTATTGTAGGAACAAGAATCATTATGGAAAACAAAATTAACCTTGAAAACTTTACTTTCAATGGCGAATAGAGATGAAGCTCAAGCATTAAAAAATCGAAAACCTATTGATTATCATATGTTTCTTACGAATAAATTCAATAAAAAATCTATTTTTCAATATAATGATCATATTGATACAAAATTTACTGCTAACATCAAACAAATTCCTATTGAACAAGATTATAAAGAAAATCGAGTAATAAAAACTTAGAAAAGATTATTCGTTATATTTTCTTTTGAATAGAATTTATACAAACGTTTATTCAATACAATGGGCTTACGTAAACCAATAAATACAAAAAACAAAGTTGAATCGATTAAAAAGATAAAAACAAAACGTATGACTAAAAATAAAAAGACTCTCCATTATTTACCAAATAATAAAAACGAACAACAATCTATCCTAATTAATTATCAAGCAGTACCGATTTCGAAATAAAAAATTTCATGTATCTTTTTCTTTTGTACATTAATCTTTCTTTCATTTATTTCAAAATGAAACGTGACTTTGATAAGTAATAATTCATATAAATAGCAGAATACATACGAAGAAAAAACAAACCAATTTTTTTTCCTATCGATATCAAGTTAATGATGAGTACGAATTCAAATCGAAGCAAAGAAATTGAAGAAAAAATCAATTTACTCAATGAAAGTTGCCATACAACAACTGATTCAATGAATAAACTTCAACAAATATGTGCTAATCAATTATTAGATAATACAAAACATTATCAATTGGATGTTTTAAATCGTCTGGATACAATCGAAAAAAAAATCGAAAATTTTAATAATGATAATATTCAATGATTTTGTATTTTTTAATTAAAATAAATATTCAATAAACCGGCTAATTTTTGTTTTTAAATAAATATGATGATTTTTAGGATATCAGTCATCTAGAAAAGAATAGGTCATTGCACGAAAATACGAAATAATGTTAATGTACATAAATCAAACAATCATTCACGAAAGAGTACAATCAAAGGGAGAAAAAAGCCTTGAAGCAATATTTTATAATAGTAAATTTTTAAACTAGAATTAGTAATATTGTTATGAATCATTTTTTTTTCTTGGTTTATAAAATAGGCGGTTTTCTTTTCAATGTTATTATGTTTAATCACTTGATCCCATCATCAATGATTTAGTTCATTGACACATTTACATAATGATTGTCATTTATTTTTATTTTTTGTCAAACTAACAATGACAAGTGAAAGTGTTCTTCATCTCCAACAGGTATGGGAATCATTTGGGAATAAATAGTGATCCGTTATCATAATAAGTATCATCTTTAAGACGACAAACATGTATATACACAGCAGGTATCTAAGTGTTAACAACGATCAACTCTCTCTCTCTCTTATTATTGACGCAATCAAATTGTCAAGTCAAATAATATTACCTATATATGCATACACGTGTATGTATACACTGCTTCAAAATATATGTATCAGTCCCTCTAGGCGTAGTGGTGTGTACGATGATCATCAATTGTCATATAATTTTGAAAAAAAAAAGCTATACGGTTACAGTTCGTTAACGATATGTTGTTGTTGAATACATTCTAATTAGTAATGAAAAAAAGAGAAAAACGCGAAAAGATGAAATTAATTTGACGTTTTTAGACAAACAAAACAGGATTTTTCTTAATGTGCAGGTATGATGATAGCGGCTAGTGTGTGTTTACGTTGCGACATCGATCAGTCAAATATACATACAGGTGACACGATTAAATGATTAGATATTCTTTTCTGAAGGAGAAAAAAAGGAAGCATTCGTCGTTTTTTTTTTGATAAATATCGTGCCGTTAGTATGTTATAGCTACCTCTCCTTGTATTCAATCATTAGTAAGATATACGACATTTGCATCGAACCGTGTTTAGTCGAAAGGTTGAATAACTAGTAAGTAGATTATATTATATAAACAAACATATTGATTGCTTAGATTTTTTTTCATTATACGATTAATTTTTGGATAGTTAAACAATATATATCAGTCAGTTTAGTGATTTATTGAGAATAATGAACATTATGTTTGTCGCTTGTTGATATTTTTTCTTGTTTATTATAATGTGTGAAATATAAAACGTGAAAATATCTCTTCTCATACTTCTTGACACATTCAATGTATCATCCTTTTTGGACAAAAGTTTATTTGATGTTTTTATTCAATTAATTCTATAAGAGAGAAGAAAAAAAACTTTTCTTCTTTAGTTATTTTTTTTTTTGTCGAATAAATTCGATAAGTCAATGTTATCTTCGAAATGAATCAAAAATAAACTTCAAAAGAGCATCTATTTATATGTTCACTATTCTTAGACAAAATATTGATTGGTTAAAGAAAATAGATCGAAAGCGAAAGGAAAAGACACAGTAGGGAGAGAGAGAGAAAGGGAAAATGAGATTTAATGATCAAGTCGCATCATTATCACATTTAACTCTTAGAATGTTAAATATAGATGAAAATTTCAATTCATTACAAAAGCATCAAAGGTAATATATCCTGCTGAAAACTTCTGTTCATATTCAAGTATATTACCAACGATTCGTTTTTTTTCACACATAGTGATTATTAGCTTAATTCTTTTTCATTTCATATAGAAATTTGTTTTATTCACAATTCTATATTTCATTTTAGCGATATGATGGATCAACCACTCGATTTGAGTATATCAAATCATGAAATAGTTAAAAAAAAGAAATTTACTATCGATTATTTAACATCAGATATTCCGCGTCAAGCTCGACCAACATTAATGATCGAAAAAGATTCATCTTGTTATCCATATTTAAATCAATCAATGCTACCGTTACATCCAGTTGAAAATCAATTAAATAATGAACATATTTTTATTCAATCAAGATTAAAGGAACATGTTGTACCGAATATTTGTAGTCCGCCATTACCTGTAAGTTAGAAAACCTTGATTTATTAAAATAATATTTTTTCTTCTTTATATCAGAATCCAACTTTGGAAATGGTTAACGGTGGACATGGTATTAAAAATCCTTTATTTGATTGTGCAACAGAAGCATTACAAATTCAATATGGTATGTTTTTTTTTCCCAGAAAGAATAATTTAATTAACGATATGATTTGTCATACTTTAACATCAATTTTATTTTCTCATCAGTATTGAGATGAGTTAAACGGTGCAATTTTTCATGGTTAGAAACATTAGTATTAGAAGATATTTTATTATTTCTGATCAAGTCTATCTTAAATACTTTCACGATCGAGATAAAAACATATATTCGGTGATTAAGAAAATTTATTTCAAGGTCATCTTACTCCTGTATGAAAGGTTTCAAATAGATTACTATCTTAAAATATGAGAAAAGACGCGACTAAGCGTAAATTTTAGGATTGACAAAGAATGTATACATCCCTTCCACTTCCATAGTTCTTCAATGTGAGTGTGACATGAAAATTGTTGAGAGACGCTTATACAATGAAGCATCTTTCATAAGATTCATTCAAAACAACGGGTCGAATGTTTTTACTAATTTAAATCTGACATAGAAAATATTAAGTAAGACATTTCCACTTTCTGCCATTTTCGATTTCATAAATAACCTTCAGTTATGCATTGATAGATTCGTTAATTAGTAGTAAATCAATCAATATTGATATTCAAGTTATTTAGTTTGAATTTAATCTTTTTTTGTCTGTTTAGCCAATGCAATAAATCATGGCGAAGAATTTATTTGTGGTTTATGCGCAAAAACATTTAAACTTCAACGTCTTTTAAATCGACATTTAAAAAATCATAGTCAATTAAAACGATATTTATGCACATTTTGTGGTAAAGGATTCAATGATACGTTCGATCTTAAACGACATACAAGAACACATACAGGTTATTATTAAATAAAAAAAATATATTTTTTAATATTTCGTTTTCATTTATTTAAGGTGTTCGTCCATTTAAATGTGATCAATGTGATAAAGCTTTTACTCAACGTTGTAGTCTTGAATCTCATCAACGAAAAGTTCATGGATTAAATCATAAATTTGGTTATAAAAGTCGTCGAAATAAATTATATGTTTGCGAAGATTGCGGACATACTTCACCTGATCCAACACATCATTATGAACATATTAAAATTTTACATCCATATTCACCATTATTACATCGATATTATGATAAAAGACAATTTAAATTTGATTCGAATTCATCATCAACATCTTCATCATCAAATAATAATACAATAATTAGTATATCAGAACGATCATATTCATCACCACATAGACATGAAATGGATTTAGAGTAAATTGGATATTATTGATTTATTTTGCTGAAAAATGAGTTTCTATATTAAAGACATTTGTTTTCCTGTGAAATTTTGAATGTACATGTGTTTTGTTTTTCTCTTAATAAATTTAATTAAAGGATAACTAATGTTATTCAAATAGTTTCCTGATAAAAAATTTGGTTTAAACGATTGAAAATTAATGAAAAGATTCCAGGAAAAGGAAATCAATCTATTGAATATAGGAGATTACTTGTCGATCGACATCAAATATGATAGATTCTTATTAATATCAATAGAATCGATTTATTATTTAAACAATGACGTAAGAGATTTTCTATAAAAGATTTCTCGTTGAGTTCTAATCTTCAGATTAATTATAGCAACATCCTGTAATATATAAGAGAACTATTGAGTATAAACTTACAATATTTCGAGTAGAAAGTTTCGTATCTTCTAGAAAAAATTTCTTGTTCCTGTTTGATGAACGATGAAAGTCTTACTGTAATAGATTTAGAACATTTAAGTCTTTCAATATGTTACATTCCGTCATTTCTTTCAGTTTGTTTTCTCTATAAACCTTTTCAATATGACTAAGGTCTTTTTATATTTTATCATAATCTTTTATGTATCGAATTAATCGATATATACTTTCATACGATTTCTACTCATTGACATGTATCAAATAATAGAAAATAAGTAGTATTATTAGTTAACATGCTGAATGTTTTGTTGAATCAAAGTCTTGTTGTTCTACCTTTTTTTTAGTATTCGAGAGAAAGAAAAAGAATTTCTGTAGAATACAAGCATATGTATTTTTTTTATTAATAAAATAATACTTATCGAGCAGTAAAAGATCATATATCAAACTTTGATCATTCTTCAAAGACAGCAGTAATTATTTTTATTGAGAATTCCAAATCTTTCGATCTTTTTATGTTAGTTTATGGAAGTTTATCATCTAACTATTGACTATATTTGTATTGGTACTTGTTATAGTTAGTCATAGAAACTGTGTATAAAACACTGATTTCCATTAGTATAAGCAAACAATTTGAAAGATCTTTTATTGTTAAATTTTGAATGTTCGTAAATTCTATTTATGTCAAAATATAATATTACATTAACTTGAAATATAAGATTGTTATATGTAATAAAATATATGTGTGTCAGTTATATATTACTCACGCATAAAGGGTAAGTACGCATTACTAATCTCTTTGGACAAAAATAAATAGAACACTTTGTTGTTCTATTTTGTCATCATAACATCATAGTTTGATCTTTTAGTTACATCATTAATAGATAGTTGATTAATGAAACGAAAATTGAATTCTATACATATCTCTTTTTCATTTTACATCTCAGGACATCTATATTTAGTGTTAACTATATTGAATTGATTCTTTGTTCAATATTACAGTCGAATCTTTCTGCAAAAGACATCTAAACATTCTTCTATTATAAAAAGGTAAATGATTAATACATTGCATTTCAACAGTAATCTATCATTGTGTCAAACTATACATACATAATATTTATTATCAAATAACTAATCTTAGAATATATGAAGATGATTACAAATATTTTTGTCTAAAAACAATATTTACAAGACAAATATGTAGTACCTAACGTTTCAAATGACACAGAGAGATGCACAAAACATCAGCATATGTTTGTTGATTATTCTACATAGGTTAAAAGTTTTACAAAATAGTTTGAGTAATTAATCATCAGCCAGTAATGTAGAATAGGGTCACATAAAAACTATTACGAAGAAATAATCAGAATAGTAAGGTGTCTTGTTTATTTTAGCCAAGGGCATAGTTAAGATCTTTATGGCGCAGTTAATTTAATCTCTTTTCTTTTTATGATAGACCATTTCGTGCTGAATAGAATTTAGAAGTTTTCAACATCCCATAGAAAATTATTTCTATTAATTCATATAAAAAAATATCGTCGTTTCTTTTTTTTTGTATAAAATCTATTTGAAATATCAGCGAATACTTTTTTTTCTAACTTATAAAAAAACTAATTGAATTGGTATAGAAATATTTTATATATAATAAAGATTTTAATCAATAAAATGTCTCGAATAATATTGTTTTTTTAAAAAAAAGAAGTGAGAAAAATAATTAAAAAAATATATATAATATACTAAATATAGCCAAACCCATTTGAAAGATAAAATCTATTAAAATCTCATTTATAAAAAAAAACAAATACATAAAATATTCTCTTATCAGATCAACGTGTTATATTATCAATAAAAAATAGTTTTTGCATTTATTTTACTCTATAAAAATGTCTATTAAATAATATTTTCTATTACAAAAGGAAAAAACGAAGGCAGACTTCCGATCATTCATTATCTTCAAAAGAAAACCTATCTGATCTATTTGTTATTATATTCTTTTATTTTTTGGTGCATTAACTTTCAATACACATTTTAATTTGTCTACTATTATTCTCGGTCTATTGAATAAATTATATTACATATATATAATCGAAATGGTAAGTTCCTTTTGTATTATTATTATTTTGAATAGTTCATTAAAAAACTTCTTTAGTGGCATCTATCGAATCTCGATTGAAAGAAACTAATCTTTTCATCGAGTATTTCTCAGTAGAATATTTTTGTCGATATTGAATAGTTTAATAAATAAACAATTTAATTAACTAAATTTTAATATGTAAATCTCATGAGAGAAATAAATATTTAATTTCTTTGATTGGTTCCACTAAATTAGCCACTAAAATTTAGTTGATTGATCAGTCATTCTTCTTGAAGTTTGGCCGACTATCGAGAGAGAAGAAAATTTTTAATAGAGAATATTATTCGAAGGATTAACTAACTTTATGATATGATCGTGTTTAGTAATACATCAAATTTCTTCTTTTTTTTTGTCATAATAAGTCGATTTTAATGAAGGGACAATCTTTTTATTTATATTTTGTTTTCTTATCATAGATCAAGCACAGGATCAGGAGAATGGAAGGGCATAAAATAAAAACAAAGTCAAAATTTAAAGTTCGTCATCAAAAACATAAATTATTTCGTGCCAATGAACCATTATTATCTGTACTTATGTGGGGTGTTAATTTTACTGTAAGTTATTTACTTATTTATATTCACATAAAAATAAAACATTCATTTTTCTTTAGATTCACGAATTAGATAATGTTAATATTCCAGTTATGCTTCTACCGGAACATTTTAAAGCTTATGTTAAAATTCGTATTGACAATCAGAATTTTAATAAGTATATGAGATAATTATATGAATATGTATAATTCTTTTTTTTTTGTTTATTATTAGGGAAGTCATGCCAAGTCATTTTAAAGTAAAAGAATATTGTCCACTTGTATTTCGTGCTTTTCGTGAATATTGGAAAGTACATGACAGTAGTTTTCGAGTAAATTTTCTTCAAAAAAACCTTTCATTATTTTCTTAATAGAAATATATTCTTTAGGATTCATTAACGGAACCACCTATACCATTAAATGAACCGACTAAATCAAATTTAGCATTATATCAATCATATGATCGACGTTTTGTTCTGAAATGTATTGCCAAAGAAGATGTTGAACAAATACATAAATTTTTACCAGAATATCATCGAGTATGTTATTTAGAGCAAGTTTGAGTACTTTCGTTTAAATATCATACTTCACAAGAAATATTATTTTTTGCAATATTTATAATAATGCAAATTCACTTCCCTCTTATTTTCGCTATCGAATTATAATATCAAAGATTTATTTCATTTCTAATTTTAGTATATTGTTGAAACTCAAGGTGATACATTACTTCCACATTATTATGCTTTATATCGATTAACAGTTGATGATAAAGAAAATTATGTCTTAGTTATGCGTAATGTTTTATCAACAAAATATAAAATACATTATAAATATGATGTTAAAGTATGATTCATTTTTTGAATAAATTAGGTTTTTTTTATATAAAAATATTTGTTTAGGGTTCAACTGTTGATAGAAGTGCAACAGAGAAAGAAAAATTAAATACGTGTCCAACATTAAAAGATAATGATTTTTTAGAAGGCAAACGAGCAATTGATTTAGGTATTGAACAAAAAAGAATATTTATGGAAAGACTTAAACGTGATGTTAATGTAAATATTTTTTAAAAAAGATAAGTAAGGAAGATTATTTATTATTTTTTTTGTTAGTTTCTTGTTGGTTTACATAAAATGGATTATTCATTACTTATTGGTATTCATGATCTTGATCAAGGTGGAGTTGGTATGATAATATAAATATATATATATATATAAACTTGTATTTTATTCATTGTTATTTTAGAACGTGATCAAAATGTATCGACTGGTGATTTCAATACATCGGATTTATCCGGTAATGAATCATCAGATGGATCGGGTATGATTTTCCTATTCTTTTTCTTATTAAAATTCTCTATGGTCTTTTTTTATCGTTTAGAAAGTCCAACACAAGTTGGTGATGATTATTCATCGGATGAACCATTTATGATGAGAAGTTCAGACAGTAAATTATTTATTTAATATTATACAGATGCAAAAATGTTCATTTATTTTCTAGCATCATCACGTCGTGAACTTTATAGTCTTGGTTTGATTGACATATTAACATATTATGGGATGAAAAAGAAAAGTGCACATGTAGCGAAAACAAAATTATCTGGTTCAGATGCTGATGGAATATCAACAGTTAAACCAGAAATTTATGCACGACGTTTTTTGGATTTTATTGATAAACATTTTATATAGAAAATAAATACTTCATAGAACGATGTAATATAATCTTCTTCTTATATTTTGCTCCTTTTTTTCTTATATGCAATAGTTCAAACCCCGTCATTTTGTTTTTTTTGTATTCGTACAGTGTTTATTTTGTGTATATGTATGTTTATGTATGCGATTTGTTCCGGTCTGTAAATTGATGGACATATGTGTTTATTCATGATTTTCTTTTCTTTGTTGATTTATTATATTGAAGATTTATTGTTTAACATGCATGTATGCGCGTAGTTCTAGTCATATGACTCGGTTTGTTTTTTCTTTACTCGCCTATTACTTGTTAGTTTGCACGCTATTTTTTATTTCTATTCGGTATGTATATCATTAATATATTTGATGTTTTATATATGTATGCACGTGCATTATTTCTATACAAGTGATTAATTGGGAACAAACAAAAAATTTCAAATATATCAATAAGATTTGATTTACAGTTTAAGAAAAAAAACAGGCGAACATATTTTCGAGACTATGAAATTTTCTTCTAATATCGACAAGTAGCAAATCAGTTTATAGTCTTGATCAAGATACATTGTTTAATATAAGAAAAGTTTCAAAATCTCAAGGGAAATTTCTAAACAAATTAGGTTTTAGATCTAAGAGAGAATAAAAGAGTAATAATATTTGATTTGTCTGTCTTGTGTGATAGTACTGATCTAATATTTAATGCGTGATATGATGATTTTTTTATAATATTATCAGCAAATATACGCATAGATAGATGATGTGGATTTCATCAAGCGTAATGTAAAATGAAACAGCATCGGAAACGACAAATTCAGATTGAATGTATATATATATAAAATGATGTGATAATAAAATGAAATAGGTCATCTTATTAAATTATTATATATGAATTTCTTATACTTTCGATCTTGTGACTGAAAAATCATGTAGGTCATTAATAAAAGAACGTTTTATTATGAAAATAAAGTATGCAGAGAAAATTTGTCTAATAAGTATAAATGCTAATAGATTCTATAGAATATATAATTCTAAATTGTATTATAAAATTGATTTGCATATATATTTATTCGTCTTTTGAATATCTTTTTATATTCTAGATGAAATCAATGGATTTACGAAAAAAATAAAAATTAATCAGACTTAAAACGCAAGATTATGTTAGAAGAATTACTTTGTATAATAAATTAATGCACGTAATCTAATGTGACGTTGATGATCCTTTTCATTCGTTACAACACAAAAAAGAAATTGTCGAACAAAACAAAAGAATAAAACACTAGTTTTCTTATTCTATTAACAACTTGACAGTTGACAAATTTTATTACCATTCATCATATTTTCTATATATAAGTTTTCTCAAATGAAATTACTCTTTACATTGTATTTTAAACAGTAGCATATATAGTTCAATTCCAATGATTATCAATAAGGAATTTTTTATTATTTAATCATTCCGGATGAAATTCAGATCTATATTTATAGTTTTATATTGCCTGACACTAAAGATGCAACTAAATCATCTAATAAGAAAATATTAATCAAAATATTATAATCTACTTTTTATGAAAATCATTCATTAGTTTGCAATTATAGTTAGACTAGAGATGATATAGAGGAAATCAAATAATTTTTTTTATTCCACAGAAATGTGCGATAAGTAAATGGCTGTATTTGAACCATATTCATTTGATGTATATTCAATACCTATTTCTTGCACATCATTTAATTCTTCGGATGACATTTGAGTTAGATCAAGTACAAGTGCTGTTGCTGTTCTGCTATTTAATTTATTTGAACCTGAATCATACCATTTCCAATATGAGCCTGCTTTGATGTAAAGTTTTGCACTTATTTCTCCATAATTATTAAAGCCCCATGAAGCTACATGTGCTTCAGCAATCATTTTCTTATATCCGTTGAGTTGAAACGTTGATTTATCTTGAGTAAATAATGCATAACGAGCATTTGTCATCAGTTGTATATCAGCTTTAAGACTATCCATTCCTTGGAACATAAATTCATTTGATTGCCACGGACCACCTACAACATTTGCTCCTTTCCATTCACCAATGCCATTTGAAAAACTATAAAGAATTTTGCCTTTTGATGGTGTCGTTTCAATTTCAGTACTAGTTCCATGACCTAAATTAATTTTATTACGATTAATAACTCGTTCATCATTGAGAAAAGAATAAGCATTTTTATTTCTAATTGGTGACCAGCCATCATTCCAAGCTAGAAAATAAGCAACTCGTGGAAATATTGATTGTATTGCTGTTAACCTAAAACATTCATAATTTGTAATATTGCAGTCGGTTCCAAGTTGAAATTTACCATCTAGTATAATCAAATTGACCATTAGTATTTTGTGGGCCAACTTCACCTAATGCAAATGGTTTATTTAAATTTAACATTTCATTGTAACCTTGCATAGATTCCTACAAGAATATTACTTATATGATTATATATATCATATTTCAAAGATTTTTTTCTTACCGGATTATCAGTATAAACATCAAGTGCTACAATATCAACGTAACCATCACCTGGATAATAGATTGATGGATTTGTGCGACTTTGATCAGGTGAATAAATCCAAAGAATATTATGTAAATTTTTTGTTAATGTTAAATAAGTGAACATATCTTGCCATATATTCTTAAATGTATTAGAATCCTATAGAAATACAAAAAAAATTGATTTCTATAATGATAAATAAAGATTTTATACTTGATTACACCAGTAAAACCAATCTCCATTCATTTCATGTAATGGACGAAATAGAACAGTTACTCCTGCTTGTTGTAAATCATTTAAACCTTCAGCCATTCGATCAAGAAATAGACGCCATCGCTGTCCAGTTTCTGTATTTGTATTAGTTATATCAGCAAAATTTAAATTCATTCGATCTTTATAACCACCACCATAAGCTGATACTGGATTTGGTAAATGCATATTTATGGTAACTAAACCACCTTTATTCCAATGTTCTTTCAATACTGAATTACATGTATAATCAATGATATCTTGTGGTGGAGACTTATAGTTCCAGCCACATGCATAATCACAACCAAGAATAGCTGGTACTTGACCTGTTTGACCAGCAATTTCATCTATTTGTTGAGTATTAAATGTATCAGGACTGTAGCCAGCAAATTGACCAGAAAGAACTTTACCTTGTTGAGGTAGTTGTGCTATATATGTAAGAATTTGTTTTGTTTTTTCATTTGCACCTCTATCTGCTGGTTGTTCTGCAAAACATAGATTGATTATTATCAACCATAAGGTTACATTGATATAATATATCGACTGCATTTTGTGGAATTAACTAACTTTTTCATTACGTGATACTGACAATATATAGTGCGCAGTAATTCTATTGATTAAAAATGAAATCAAGGTCGCAAGGTATTATTTTCTTACTTTTAAGTCCTTTGTTTTTGTATTCATGCCAACTGGGCTTAGTGGTGTTAACTTCAATGTCAGTTTCAAAATTTAACAAAACAGACCTAAATAAAATTATATTTGATATTCATTCGAATGAAAAATAACGAAAATATAGTCTTATTATTTCTAAATGACTTAAAAAGATTATAAAAAATTTCTTCTCTTTTTTTAATATTCATAATATAATAACACATCTTCATTGTTTCTTTTTTTCTGTAGTCATGCATCAATACATAATTGATTTTGGTTTTTTTCGATATATCTGTATTATTCATTGTCACTCATCTTTATATGTATAATCTATTCATTTTTCTTAATAAGTTTTTTTTACATAGTATGATATCAAAATCCCGAAAAAAAACTCGACTAATGAAAGATGTGCACGATGATTCTGTGAGCACCTGATACAAATGTGAGTGAGAGTGAAGGTGAGGATGATGAGTTGTAAATGGTTCATTTTATTTCTAAAGATTCAGCAACGAAGTAAAGAAGTTATGTGAAATATAACAAAGAACATCACTTCCGATATTTTCGATTCGAGATTTTGATACTAATTCTTTTTCTCATCATGTACATTTTTTGTTGAACTTATTCTTACATAAATGTAACAGTCTCTGAATATGAGTTATATAGTGAAAATAATTTTGTTTTCTGTGAATTTTTTATGTATTCAATGAAAGAATCTAATCATCTTTCTTCATGTGACGAGTTAAATAATTATAGAACTTGATAAAAACAATATGAGTTTACTTTATTTGATTTCTGATTATTTTCCAAAGTCATGCAACGATGGTCTCATTTTATTATTTTTATATTGATATATAATGTATTCTCTATTTCGTATATATATATATAAAAGACATTACTATTAATTTGTTAAGTTCCTAAGGCGTTTATAGCAAACGTCTTCAGAAACTATACGTTGATTTTTATGGTTGGCAAAAGAAGAAAAAAAAGATTCTATGTAATTAATTATTGTTCTCAACCAAAAAACAATGCTATTTGATTGTCAATTTTTGATTTTTTTCTATTTCTTTTTCTTCCACTTTGTATGCGTAGGCCATCATATATTATTGCTTTAATGTTTGTTTGGCGTTGTTAGACGACACTGCACTGTCTCGCTTCTATTTGAAAAAAATTGTAAACAACACACATGTGCACAGACTGTTTCTTATAAAGAAAAAAAAGTCAGGTATAAAAATAAGAAAATGAATATACCAAAAAGGAAGAAAATAATATCATACATTCGATAGGTTATTGAGTATCACATTTACAATTATGTAAACATTTACGATCAAATGTTTCACGTTGTTATTTTTTTAGATTAATTTATTATAAAAATTCATGACCGGTGTTTCAATAATGTTTTATCTATACCTTTTTTTTTCTTCAATTGGTAAAGTTAATATATTATATAAAATATGAAGAAAATTCTTTGTAGACTTTAGTTGTCGCTGAAATATCATGGGATAATTGTGCAAGTGATACAAATACTATGAAATTGGTAGATCTTGAAATCGATCCATATCCAGTTGTAACACCGGGAACAATATCTGTAAAGATTACTATTCATAACGATAAACCTATCTCAAGTCCATTAAAAGTTTGTTTTGTCTAATAATAATTATTCTATTCTACATCAGTGATTTTCATATTTATATAGGCAGAATTATCATTACATAAAAAACTTTTATTCGGTTCTATTCCTATTCCTTGTGTCAGTGGTATTGGTTCATGTAAATTCGTTGATCTTTGTAGTCTATGTTCACAATGTTGCCCATTAACAGCAGTGAGTATAAATGAAAGTGAAAGAAATTCTTTCCAATTAACATTAAATATATAATTTTAAGGGTGATCATGTGATAACTTTACCAATTACAATTGATACTACTTCATGGGCACTTACTGGTAATTATTATGCACAAGTTGATATAGAAACAAGTTCAGAAGAAAAAGGATGTGTTAAACTTAATAATATTCAAATTAAATCGAGCAAATGAAATGTGAATAAAGTTTTCGGCGAAGAATATTTATTAAAATAAAAACTGATACATGTTTTGAAATATTTTATTTATTATGTGAATATATGATAATAATCTAATAGAAAATAGTTCATTCAATAACAAAACTTTCATATATAAATATGAAAATTATCTATACATAAATGATGCTTAGAATAATAAAAATCTCGAACTAAATCAAGTTATCTATCTTATTGCTTTTTTTATGAACGGTATTTATAGATTCTTAAGATGAATTCATATGAGAATATCAAAGATAATCTGATGGGTGGATATAATTTTGATTGGTATAGTCCATTGGGAATACTATTAGCACTTTATAGTCATATTCATTAGTTTTGATCTACTATTTAAATATATTCAGAGCGCTTAATAGGCATTCATTTCATTCTCATCTTATTTCTTGTATTCACCATGTCTCAATCACGTTTATTCCTAATACTTATGATCTGTATATCCTTTATTATGATCGTTCAAATGTATACTATTAAGAATGATCTAAATGAATTTCAACGTTATGAACGTGGTTTTGGTAATAGACGATCTTTAATTAATCCAGCTAAATATCATTATTCAAAAGAAATTCTATCTTCATTTGATAATCAAGATGGTAAATATTTATTTTCAAATCCATATGAAAAAATAGAACAAAATGATGTAATTCATCGACAACAGCAACAACAACAACAACAACAGCCGCTTATTGTTTATCGTTAATGAAAAAAAAACTAAATTTATATTTATATAAATTATATGATTTAATAAAATGATTTTAACATTTTCCACATAAATGATGGCATTCGAAAGCAAAAGTTTCACTTTCTTCACATAATGGTTGATTTTCAAGGCTACAGATTTCAGAGTCGACATCCGGTTGTCGACAATCAACTATAAAAAAGATGAATATAGAGAAAAAGTTGATAGGAAAATAAATTTTATTCTACCATTTTCACATTCGCGGCCATTAGTATTCTCTAAGCAGTAGCAAAAACAGCCATCTTCTATTTCTGGTGTGCCACCATTCTGACAATTCAAGGTGCAACTTCCTGTAGATGATAATGCTGTTGTTGCTGTTGAAAATGCTTGAAAATATATTCTTACAACTAAACATAGAATGTGTATTTTTGAGTCCTACCTGAAGTACTACGAGTTGAAGTTGTCATCATGGTAACGGTTGGAGTTGTCATCATAGTAACTGTTGAAGTTCTCATCGTAGTAACTGTTGTTGTTGTTACTAGAATACAAAAAGGAACTCGAAATTATTAATTTGTCTTGTATATACCTGGAGGACTAAGAGTATATTCTGCACCATATCCATTACATTTATTGCCAGTACAGAAATAGGTTTCTATTCCATTGTAAGTACTAACAGAATTCGATGGTCCGCAACCCCACCAACAACAACGTCGTTCAATTATTGCTATTTATATTATATGTTAAACAAAGGTTTTGATCATTCAGTATAATTTTACTTTGATCAGTAGGATTTCGATAGACCATACATTTTGGGCAGTGCATTGACATAGATGAACCTTCCTTACCACAATCAGATCCTGAACAATCATAACATTGAGATGATGGTTGCTCAGTAGTAACAGCAGTTGTAGTAGTAGTAGTCATCATTGTCGTTCTAGCTATTGTTGTGGTCATTGTTGTGGTCGTCATTGCAGTTGTTGTCATTATCGTCGATGTTGTCACTGCATAAAAAGGAAAGTATTGTGACAATTTGTTAATTTTTGCTATTACCTGCAGGACGAAGAGCATACTCTGCGCCATATCCATTACATTTATTACCAGTACAGAAATAGGTTTCTACTCCATTGTAAGTACTAACAGAATTTGATGGTCCACAACCCCACCAACAACAACGTCGTTCGATTTTAGCTATTTACATAGACATTAGAAAACTATTACAACTAATCACAATCTGTTACTTTGGTCATCAGGATTACGATATACTATACATTTTGGACAGCTTGACATCGGGGAACCTTCTTTACCACAATCAGATCCTGAACATTCATAACATTGTGATGATGGTGGTTCAGTTATGGGAGTCGTTGTCGTTGTCGTCGTAGCTATTGTTGTAGTCATTGCTATGGTGGTCCTTGCAGTTGTTGTCGTTACTGCATAAAAAGGAAAGTATTGCGGCAATTTGTTAATTTCTACTATTACCTGCAGGACGAAGAGCATATTCTGTACCATAACCGTTACATTTATCACCCGTACAAAAGTATGTTTCTAATCCATTGTAAGTACTAACAGAATTCGATGGTCCACAGTTCCACCAACAACAACGTCGTTCAATTTTTGCTATTTACATTGATATTAAAAAACTGTTACGAATAATCACAATATTTTACTTTGATCATCAGGATTACGATATACCATACATTTTGGACAGTTTGACATCGAAGAACCTTCTCTGCCACAGTCAGATCCTGAACATTCATAACATTGAGACGATGATGGTTCCCAACTGACAGTAGACGTCGTTGGTACTGTTGTAGTAATGGTCGATGCAACTGTTGTTGTACTACTTGCACTTACAGCTATATAAGAAACAAATAGATATACGATTTTTTAAAAATTTTCACATGTCCTTACATGCAAAATTGAATCTAGCATCACTATTAGGTCCATTACAATTATCAGCATTACAAAAATAGGTTGGTCGACCGGAATATTCCGTAATTTGATTTGGTGCTCCACATCCCCACCAACAACAACGTCGATCAAATTTAGCTTTGAAGTAAACAAACGAATTTCGTAAATCTTTTATTCTTATCAAATTCTATCTACTTGGATCATCATCATTACGAGAGACCATACACATAGGACAATTTGGAGCAGTTGTCGTACATGGTTGTTCATTTAAACCTGAACATTCATAACAAGAAAATGATGTTTTACTTGTAGTTGTCACTGTTGTAGTTAAGGTAGTTGTTACTGTAGAAGATAACATAGTTGATGTCGAGTCCAATTCTTCAATTCAATATTTATTTATTTATTTTATTTATCTAAAAAACTATTTACTTGTTGTATTACTAAGTACTTTTTCGGCACCAACTCTATTACATTCATTTGATGAACAAAAATATGTTTTTCGTCCATCAAATTCTCCAATTGTACCAGGTGATCCACAACCTGATGTACAACATCGACGAACAACATTATCTTAATATTACAAAGTAAAAATGAACTCTCACTCCTATTCTTTATTTCATAAATATATTTACCAGCATCAAAAGTGTTACGATAGACCATACATGTTTGACATCCGTGTACTAATGTTGATGTATCCTTACCACATTCTGGATTATGTGAACTACAATCATAACAACTCAATGATGATTCATCGTTGCCTGCCTTTGATAATATTTTACTTTTAATCGCTAAAAATACTGCTGCTGATAATGATTAAAGATTCATCTTTTTACCTAAAAGTTTTCGATCTGAATGAATACCATTACATTTATCTTTCATACAGAAATACGATCTATCATCATTTTCATTGTTACAATTATCTGTACAGCAACGTCTAACTACCGTACCTGTTCAAATATTTTATATATTAATTAATTGAGATGAATTATGTCAAAAATATCATTTTTTTATATCTTACCATTACCATCTTTATTTAAATAGCTCATACATATACCAGAACAATCAACAAGATGGTCAGTATCTTCTTGTCCACAAGATTTATTTCCTGAACACTCATAACATTTCAGACTATTACATGATGTTGGATAATTGATGAAAGTAATAAAGATCAAAGCAATTACAGATGGGACTAATATCATATTTTTCTTTCTTTATTGAAATAATCGATATTTTTATCAATCGTCTTACTTTTATTAATAAAATACTAAGCTTCACCTTTATTTTATTTTTCGTTTTTTATAAAGAAGGAAAAAAAACAATTTTATTGACAAATACTTAAGAGACTATCGAATAATTGTTTTCTTCAGAAACTGGTATTAAAGTACTTGGTGGAACACTATAACTAGGTTGTCCAAATTCTGTTGTAATTGTCGTTGATAAATCAGGTGAATGTTTTTCATTGGTTAGTCGATGTTTTCTTATTTTACCAGTTTTCATATCAGGATGCCAAAGTTCCGGTGACCAAATTTCAGGTACATTATTAATATCTACAACATTTTGAATATAATATGTTAAATCAGTCGATGATTGCATCTCATTTTCAGTCAAGAATGGTGTAGGTGGCTAAAAATAATCGAAAAACAAATATTTAATCATGAAAAATATTTTTCTATATCATATTGTTTACGATGATTTAAGACAATCTAAGCTTTTCATATGAAATAAAAATAGAGTTACATTGATAGATTAGTATCTAATATCATATAGATTTGTTTTAAAGCTGTTTTCTTATTAAAACAAATCAATTTATGAATGCTCTTTGTTTTAGACACGTACTTTATCCATCGATGGTGCAATTAATCGTTCTAGATCAGCTGTAAAACGTAATTCCCTTTCGAAATTTATTATTTTTTCCCATATGATAGCTTTTGTATTTAATTTTCGAACTTCATTTCGAATTTCTTGTATGATTGGAACATCTTGACTTAAATTACAATGATAAGCTTCCAGCGCTTCTTTTAATGATCTAAGAAAAACATTTTGTTTAAAAATATTTTTTGTTTTTTTTATCATACTGGATAACTATTGGTTGTTTTTCAACTAAATATCGACTTTGTAATGTATCAATAATTTCTTCATCGGCTTTTTCTAATAAAACAATAGAATTAGGTGCTGCTGATCGTACCAATGGACTTTTATCATATCGAACACTCCATAAAAGAACATTTCGACATTTTTTATTCGTCATTCCATATAAACCAAGAGCTAAAAGAAACCTGTGGAATAAATTTTAATAATTTTTATTTTTACCTTCAACAGCTGCATATCGAACTTTTTCAATAGGATCATATTCAATAAGTTCAATGAGTAAATCTCTTATATTTTCCTCACGTGCTTGTAATTTATATGTTGTACGACATGCACGAATACGTACACTAACACGATCATCTTTAAAACATTTTAAAAATGGTTGAATTAATTTAGCGGTTAAAACACCTAAAAGACAAAAAAGCTTTTTATTTATGGATATAATTAATTTTTCAATAAACAAACCAAGATAACCAATAAGTTTAAGTGCTTCAACACGATCTTGCCAATAACGACTTTGTAAACGCGTAACAACTTCTTCATGCACTGCTTGTCCGCAACCACATTTACCTAATGCTTGACCAGCTACACGACGAACACTACTATTCATATCTTGCCACATGAGATAAATTAATTTTTGTGTAATATCCTATTGAAAATGAATTTGAATTTGTAAAAATATATCAAAATTTTTTTTTACTTTATTTGGTTGAGATTTAAGTAATGGAAAAAGTTTACAAGCAATCAATCGATCATTAGCATCAGCAGAATTTAAATATTCACCAGTTAAACTATGTACGAGATTCTATTAGATATAAAATAGAAAATTAGATTATATTAATTATTTGATTCTTTTTTATAATTACCGTTCCTTGACTTAATTTCGATAAAGAGAAAATAAGTTGTTCACGTGCTAATTCATAATCAGTATCAAAATAATTTTTTAATAATTCATGTATGATATCTGATGTTGTGATATTTACACTAGCTAGAGATTGTGCAGCTGTTAATTTATCTTCTGGATGACCATTTACAATACATAAACGAAGAATTTTTTCTACCTAAATCAAAATAATTCAATTAAAAAAAAGCTATATCGGATTTTTCATAATACTTGTGGAGAAAAACGACGTAATGTTACAAGAACAATAGCAGCAGCTGATCGAATACGTTCTTCAGAATCATCGAGTAGAGCTTCAATCGAGTCAAGTAATTTATCAGGAAGAGTACGAACTTGTAAACCAAGATCTATACAATAGTTTTTTTTATTGAATATATAAATCCTTTTCTTTCTATATTACCAATTTCTTTTTGTGTAAGATGTTGAGCAGCTCGACTACATATAACAAGAGCTGTAAAACGAATCTAAATAAACTCTATTTTAAAATATATTTCTTAAGAAAATAAACAAACAAACATGTGGATGTCTATCGTGTAAATCACGATATAATTCATCGATATCAGCATCACGCCATCGACTACTACCTTGCCATCTACGTTTCCATTCTTTAAAAAAATTGGCAAAATATTTTGTTAATAAAAGAAATCTAAAGAATTTTACCTTCAATAATTCGACTAATTGTTGTATTTAATTTTAATGCATGATTTATTCGAGAATCATTTATTAATGGTAAAAGCCATGAAAGTGATAAATCATTTACATCAGGTGGTCGAGGTATATGCTAGAGTAATTAAATAAATATTGTTTAATTTCATATGTTTAAGTTTGATTTTTAAAATTAAAATTAGTACAAGCGTAAGAAGCAGAAGAAATGCCATGAACACATAGATATAAGAAAAACCTGAGCAAAGAAAGCTTGAATTGCTGCTGTTTTATTGGATGTATCGTCTGGTATGAACATTGTCAGATTAGGACTCTAAATATGCGTGCAAAAGAATGCGATTTTGAATCAACAACAATATTTAATTTGTGATAGACATGAATGTAGAAGAAGAAGAAAGGTTTTCTATGACAATACCGTATTTCTGATTCCAGGCAAAGCTTTCCAACGACGTAAACCTTTTGTAGGTATTGGTCGATCAAATGCAGCCGATGAATTAATTTCCAGAGCTAAGTTTAAAAAATAAATAATAAGTAATTTTCATATTGAAGAGAAATTTATACTTGAAGCAATTGAATCCGGATCAGGTGGAAGTTGTTTTTGAAGAACTTTATTAAATTGAATTTTATCCGAAAGAGCAATAACACCAGGTTCATCTGTTGGTTGATGTGCATTAGTTCCTAAATAGAGATTACATGTATTCGTTTTTTTTCATGGATTAATATTTCTTTTTCTACCGAGAATCATTGCTTTTTCATATGGATGATCTGTTCGATAAACTGTATCTGTTATTTTGTCTGATATTACATCATAATATGTTGGATCTTGACGTATAAATGAATTTCCTGTAACGATTTGCTGAGCTGGACGAACTTTTGATGATACTGATTAAATGAGAGATATTGTTTTTTTGAAAATAAAGTATTTATTATAAACTTACAACCATCTTTTCTTTCTTCCTTTGTTTGTTGTTGTAAATCACGTGAAGTATCTTTTTTAGATGTTTGACTAGTTAATCTAAATAGGAAAATAATGTCAAAAAAAAAACAACACAAAATTTCTATGTGACTTTTTAAAATATGATTGTTCAGCTACATTATCTTCATCATCGTATGTTGGAATCTAGAAAAACAAACTCCATATAATAAAAAAATACATGAATTCAGTAAAATAAACTTACTAATTCCATTTCTAATGGATTGGGTAATTTTGTAATGTGATATGTTTTTCTTAAATATTCAATTAATCGAGCTCGACGTTCCTCTAGAAATCAAATAGATTTTATTTCGAAGAGATTCTTTCTCTCAATGTCTACATACCATCATGTACATGTTTTAAAATAATAAATGTTGCTGTATTCTGATCTAAATGTTCAAACATATATTCATCCCAATTTCGTTCCATTTGTGAAAAATCTTTGTCTGCTATAAGTTGTGCTTGTCTTTCAATACCATCATGACCAGGTCGTACACTCATCATAGTTTCATCAATTCCTTCGGATGTTTCTGATCGTATAGTAGGCATAGTAAGTGAATGTCTAATCTGTTGTTTAGATTTTTTAATATATTCATCAGATTCATTGATTTCAGTCATATAGAAAAGTGATTGTTGTGGTTGAAATTTTTGTGGTTCAACTACAATTGGTTTTTGTTTTAAAACTCGACGTGCATGTTCCCATCTTTCTTGTGGTAAACTTAATGGAAGAGGTTGTAAACGATGAGGTGGTCGTGGTGAATGTTTCACATCAGAATTTGGTACATATAATGATCGACTATTATAATGTGCAAATGATATTGATGATGGACATAATTTTTGTACAACATCAACATCAAATTCTAGACCATTACTAACAAATGAAAGTAGGTTTGATTCAACTGGTGTCTTATCATTTATAAAAGGATTAATTTTTATTAATTTCTAAGAAAAAATATATTTGAATTTATAATAGAATTTGTTTTCTTTACTTCTGGAATTGGGATATTTGGTAAAGATTTTATTTTTGTTGTTGATGTCATTTTATTAAAAACGATTTCTTTTATTTACAATTATAATCATAATAGTAGCAAAAGTCTTTTTTCAATCCATTTTTAGCTAAGTTACCCTAACAAACCCTCTATTTTGTTTATAGAATGAAAGCGATTGGTTACTATACGCCAATCTTTATAAGGAGAACGAATAATGACATCATTCTTTTGATGAGGTTTCACCATACATGAACTAATTTCATTTTAAAAACTATTGTTGATAATATTGAGTTTTCTTTTTAAGATAATGCAGGAAAGAATGGATACTGATGTAGACTATCCATCATTTGATCTTCAATCAATTAATGTTTCATTTGAAGTAAAACTTTAGTTGTTTAAGTCAAAATTTAATTTAATCTATTTAGGAAAGACGATGGATATTAAAACAACGACAATTATATAAATTAGATAATTTAATACAATCAATTGCTGATCTTCATAAGACAATTCGTGGATCCGAACAATGTTAGTGGGTATTTTCAACTAAACTGAAGAATTCATAATTATGACAGGGGATACTTAGCTGATTAATAGAAAATTTGAAAATGAAGACTTCTGTTTAAGATATTCTTTTATTCAAAAGATAAAACTTCAGTATTCTTTATATGATTATGTCCACATGAGATAAGAATCTATCTATCATTGATAGACAAATACGAAATAATTTATGATTACTAGATGGTAGTTTCGTTCTTGCAAGTTTTGTAGAGTTCTCTTTATTGTTCATTGTAGTATATAATCAGATAGATAATGACCCTAGTCGAACATCTTGTATAGTATGATGTTGTCTTTTATTTTCATCACACAAAATTAAGTTCTATTTAACAATAGTCAGTTTCTTGAGAAAACAGTTTAAAACAAACACAAAATACATTTAAAAATTTTAAGAAATGTAGGTACAATAAAATACAAATGCAACAAGAGTCTGTAATAATTTAGAATTTAAGTTAAATTCACCAAATGATTCAGCATTAGACGATGACGATGAAATCTATCGATCAGATATTTATTTAAATCTAAAATAAATAGAGTTTCTATCGTTATGTAATTTATAACGGTTTGTCTGTCCACTCTCTTTATTCTATCAGTCTTTGTTGTTATTGGTTGATACACATGAGAATCGTTGAAAAACAATTTTCATATTTTTCCTGATTTAGTATGATTTTTAACGAATAATTCTAATTTTTGTGTATTAATAATGTCGCTTTGGTCTCTTCGAGATCTGGGTTCAAGATAATTATAGTTTAGCTTTTCTTCAGTTTTTCCAGTATCTTGATATCTGTAGTACAGACACATAAGATATGATCAAGATATACTTTTTCAAAAAAAGAAAGAAATTATCTTTTTAAGATCTTACTTACAAGATGTTCGACTAAGCGATACTATCATTGGAATAGTTCATAATTAATATTGTTATTCATTCATTTTTATCATAAAAATGATCCATAAAAAGACTTTTCCTAGGTAGCAAATTCCAAATCATTTTTCAATAAACGTCTAGTGTTTCATAATTAATCATTTGTGAAATTCCTCAATCTATTTTTGAAGTTTTCTATCTAATATTAGAATATTTCTGAAGTAGACATAGTCATTATATAAACAATAAGAAACATTATTCTAGAAAATCCATTTACATTCCTATGTTTTCTCTGTTATATGATTTCCTAGTAAATTCAGTAAAAGAATCCTTAATATCTTATAACTCGTTTTAATTCACATTATGCTTTTTTCTAAGAACTTTTTATTTATCTAATTATTAATTTAAAATTATATTTAGTTTCTTATATTCCAACATCATTATCATCATCATCTATGATAAAAAAAGGATCTTTAGATGAGACATATCCTCTATATTATGTATGTATTTATAATATTTTTCTTTTAAATTAATTTATTCTTATAATTAGTCATCAACTGTTGATGGTTGTACTAATAATGATATCGATCAATTTCGTCTTCATCATCAACAGACGTTTCAATTAGTATTTCAAGATTTATGCACGGATTTTAACTATCAAATATTTATTATCATAATGGAAGGTCTCATATTCTACTCTTCACAAACAGTGGTAATGCTCTATAAATGACTAATTAAATAAATTTCTTCAATATAATCATTAAATTTAGATTTATATTTTTAGAAAGAGTATACAACCACAATAATTGTTGAAATGCGCAAATGTTTAACATCATTTCATACTTATATACAATCACGAGCATCTAAAATAATTGACTTTATATCATTGTTACCAAAACAATCTCTTCCACATTATACAATCGTTCATACTAATCATGAAAATAATATTGGTATATTATTTCAACTCTGCCCAAAAATTGAATATTATTTAACATCAACAGATAAATGTCAATGGCATTCAATAGTATCTATAGATGAATACAAAAAACATGTTATTTCGCCGGAAGAACTTCGTTATATAGATTATTTAATGGATATGAAATCTAAACGTTATACAGGTTCTGTACGTTCAGAAGAGACTAATATGAGTCGTTTAACATATCTACCATTCGCAGCAGTACCATCTCTAGTTTTTCAAACTTTACATTCATTACCAATTATTTATCCATATGACAATAGTAAGACCTTAATGAATAAAAAAGAAATCATTAAATACTAATGCTTTTCTTTCTGAAATTTTCTAGATATGATATACAATCAAAAATATCCATTATTTTGGACTGGTACGAATCATTTAAATGATAATAGTGATATTTTATTTGAAAATATTCAAATTGAAAAAACAACTCCAGAATATTTATTTGTCGAACGATTATTTCATAAAACAGTTATGAAAACAAATGTTGATATTGCTATTGTATGTATTCATTTTAATTTATACTAAGAAAATCTATTTACAAACAACGAAATTTTTCTTCAGCACATTTAACATATCGAAATCGTTAAAACTTTATTATAAAAGTCTAATATTTACTTTAGATCGAACGTATACAAAATCCTCATTTATGGGAAAAATTTAGTTCGCATCGTTCATATATGCGACGAAAGAATGGTAATCAAAATTTAAATGAAAATTGGTTATTTCATGGTACAAAATCCGATAATCATCATCAAATAATATCACATGGTTTTAATCGTTCATATTGTCGTGATTATGTTTTGTTTGGTCGTGGTGTTTATTTTAGTCGTTATGCAAATTATTCATGCTATTATGGTGATCGTAAAGATCTTTCATTTATTTTCTTATGTCGTGTGCTTGTTGGTCATCATACAGAAGGCAGTAATGATATTCATGTCCCACCAATGATTAATTCAAATAATGGAAAACAAATTCAAGCAGATTCAACAACTGATCATAAAAATCCACACACAATTGTATGTACATTTCATGATGATCAAACATATCCTGAATATATAATAACATATCTTAATAAATAGTATAAATTTCGAAGAAAATATGATTTTATCGAAATTTGTCTTATGCTATTTTAATAAAGATTTATTTTTTTTATCATTTCTGATAGGAAACAAATATGTTGACAGGTTGAATGTCAAAACTAATCTATTCTTATAATAAAAATAAATGAAATTGTGACATACTTTTTTTTTCTTGATCCTATGACAAGGACAAACATGTTTAACTAGATCGAATCAGGTAGTTTAAACACGATTTATTATTCCTTCCGCTATAGTTTTTTTCTAATATATATATGTGCATTGAATACAAGGAAATAAATGTAATACTACTATTCATTCTATTAAATTACAGTATGAGGTTATATTCTTCTTATGTTAGTCGATTCATACTTTGATCTTTTCAGTTACTTTATATGAGTGTCTATGTGATTATTAAGCTCATGCTGAGATTAATTTATCGAATAACAAACTTGTTCATTTGTGATACGATATGACAATTAGTAAATATATATATATATATATATATATATATCTAGGTTTACAAAATAATTATGAAAAGAATAATTGTCGCTGAATGACATTTATGTAAATGTTAGAAGAATGTTAATTATTGATATACTAGATCATTTGTCTATTTACTTGGCATTCTCGAGATTAGTGAACCAATGGTAACAAAAACAAGATAATTGAGAAAGTTTCTTTTGAATATACATTAACACAAATTTTATTTGTTTTTCTAAAATAAATCTATCGTGAATAAAATGATTATCGAATATTTAATTAAATAACTTTTTATCATCAATCATTATTTGTTTTGTTATAATAACTACTATTTATAAAGTCCATTAATCGACATTCTTTTGTTGAATACATACATATATACTATTGGAGTAATTAAAGAGATCTTATGATAGAATAAATAATTTCTTTTTTTTTTATATAATAATGATTCTATTATTGTTTTTATTCACTTAAGAAGCAACTATATTGTTCTATTATTTGAAAAGATTTAATAAAGAGCATAGAAATGCCACATACCTTGCTATGTTAGAATATACTTTCGAGTTCTTCTAGAACTGCGATATATATTATTATTATTATTATTTCTTTTTGATTGTGTAATTAATTCTAGGTATGTTTTTCTTTTGAATATTATTGGTCGATGAATTTATTTTCAATTAATTTCTTTTTTGATCTTCTATTGATAAATAATAAACTTTTCTTTTTTAATAATAAGATTTAAAAGAAAAATCTGACATTTCTTTTCATGTCATCATAACTCGAGTTTACCTGTCAATAATCTTGAGATTAAACAAACCCGAAAATATTATCAACGTCAATCATTACTAACATATAGACATATGTATCTATCTCGAAGAATATAGTTGATTATGCTTCATACAAAAATATTTTTTCCTTCGTTTTCACTATATATTTTCCCTCGATACTAACGAATTATACCTCGAAAAACATCTCAGTCATCGTTCTTTCCTTCTTCATCGTTTGGCATTATTATATTCTTCTAACTGATGTCAATTTATATGAGTACTGTGTAGTACGAATCATCATCATCATTGCTCTCGTTTTTTCTTCTTCTTCTTCTTTTTTAGATGCGTACGCTTTTCCCTCCTCTCGCTTTTCTTCTTCCTTCTTCTCTGTCTCTCTTTCTCTCTCTCTCTCTTCTTTTTTTTTCATTTTTTTAATGTGTGTGCGCTCGGGAAATTATGTCATCGGAACGCGCATACTATCAAGAAAAAAAGAAGCATGCGGTCTAAAAACATAAGACATATGATTCTGTTGTTACTATTATCGTTATTATAATGTGAATAAAAAAAATTTCTTTTTATTCATTTGGATTCTTCATTTCCTCTTAACAATACTGTTCAAAAACGAAGAAAGGTAACAAATTTTCTTGTATAGAATTACTAAATATGAATGACGTTTGTAAATTATTATCAGTTGAATGACTTTTTTTTTCTTCTTATGCTAAAAAAGAAGAAGAAGAAGAGGTAACATTTTGAGTCTAATTATTTGTTGTAAATATTCAGATATAGTTTACATCATTGAATCAAAAAGTTACTATCGTTATTCATTGGTAAAAAAAGAATGAGTCTTTTGACGATTTCCTTGTCTTTTGTTTCTTTTACGTGCGTTGTCTAAATGCACCAGATCATTTACATGAAAACATGCAATAGAGTCGAGACGATGACAATAATATTGATGTAAAAAAAGAAAAACTAGCGTTTTTTTTCTTCATCATCGTCTTCATCATCTTTTGCTGCTTTTATTTACTCCAACACACATACATGTCATTGTATAAAAGTCATCTTTTTTTTCCTGGTTAGTAAGTAGAAAAAATTATTTTAATTAAATAGAATAAAATTACTAAAGATACTTTTACATGATTTAAGAATTGATAAAAAAAAAGAAAGAAAAAATGTTTTTTTTATTGATCATTGTATTAATACATTTTTCTTTCTTTTTTTTTTCGTTTCCGGTATGTTTATCCGATTAGGAAGTCGAGAATAAAACATTGAAAAAAAAAAGTTTTTTTATTTATTTAACAAATTTGACTTTTTTCTTTTTATATAAGTTAGTTTTTTTTTGTTTTGTTTCTCAAGATTTTTATCACAAATATTTTATATGAATATATATATATATATTGACATACTTCTTAACCATTTATTAGAATATATGTATGTCTCAAAAATAAAGAATTAATGATAGATGAATAAGTATTCGATAGTCACAACATTCGAATAAATACTTATCGTTCAAGAAATTTCTAATAAGAGGACATACTTTTATCATTTGAAGAATACCAGAGGGAAAGAAAAACAACTAGAACCAACTCAATAATCAGAACTTAATTGCTCGTTTTTTTTCCCTATATACATATAAAATTTGTATTTCTTATCGTTACTCTTAAACAAATATTGCTGTATATATAAATATATATATATATATATATATCATCTAGTCGTTTTATATTTCTTTTATTCATCAACATCTAGTCTTCGTAAAATAATATAGATACCCTTGATATTTTATACTGATATATATATATATCATAAATGCATTTCCGGATGTCAATTATGTTCAACTAGCTGGAATCTTGATTTCATATTTTTAGAAGTAGATTGAAGTGAAACATAGAATTGATATTCTTGATTCGTTTATTCTATGAACTCTTGTTTATTAGATAGATATAGAGGCTGCCAGGAAGAGAAACAAAGAAAAAAGAGAAACCAAGGACGATTTACACACAATAACAACGCTTTTACTACTATTACTAGTCGCCCATAACTAACAGAACTAGAACGAGCTCGATCGAATAATCATAATCGCATTCTTCTTCTCCTCCACTGCTCCTTCTTCTCTTATGTCGTCATCATCAAGCGAAAAAAACCGTTGTTGTTGTTGCCATCACCATCATTGCAGCTGAGGTACACACACAGTGAGACAAGAAATAAACCACTGTCATATAAGAAGAAGAAGAAGAAAAAACCGAGAGGAAGACAAAATCCGTTGAGAGTCCGGTCGAATAATGATAATCAAAAAATGTATGCACATGTTTTCAAAAAACAAGATAGAGAGTATGTCTATGCATTCTACTCTTCTTCTTCTTTTTTTTATTGTTTAGTTATTTATCAGAGTAATATTCATATGATGACAACTTTCATGACTGACATTACCTTTATTATCAGTTTGTATACTTCATCATGTCAATCAGAAATGAAAATTAGAGAGAGTACCTCGACAATAGAGCAAGAGAACCGCCTCTCTTCTGCGTAATTTCAGAGATAGAATCGACAAAATGAACACGAAATTGGTGAGATAAAAGAAAGAAAAAGAAAATTAATTGCTAGATAGAATTAATACTGTAAAAAGCAAAAAAAAAGGAAAAAGAAAAAGAAAACTCAACTATCTTTCGTAATAATGTTAAATATAGCAACACGCTCTATATATATAAAGAGTCGAATTGACTTGTTGAATGATAACATCAGTAGAGCATTACAAAAAAGAGAAGGATTAGCATTTTTTAGCACTATGACTAGTCCGTGAGTGCGCATGTGTGCATCCATTTACGTGCGTGCTTCACTAGAGAATTTACAAGTTGTTCTCCCTGGTAGTTCTTTTTCTTCTTTCTTTTTTCCTAGATGCAGCAGCACCTCCCTGAGTCTTGTCTAATTGGAGAGTAGTTAAGATATATATATGTGTATATGCACTTTGTACTTATTTTATTTTTAGAAAAGCAACATTTAAATAACGACAACGACGAGCTAGCTTATTGCTAAGCTCTTCTCTTCTATTCCATTCAGTATGCGATGGTGTGTAGTAGTCACTTTAAAGCTAAGTGAGTGGAATATATTCAATTATCTACAATAATAATAATAATAATAATAATAATAATATGAATGATTTTCTTTTTTAAATAGATACGTTCGATTTTTAATTAAATATCACTTGTTCATATTTTGTTGTGTATTTATTATGACAAGTATTTGTATAAGTTTTATAATATATAAACGTACTCAAATTAATTATGAACATTTATTACGAGTAAATTTTATCTATTTTATTTAAATAATTTATTTTAAATTAACAAAAAACAAAAATCCTAGGGTTTTCAAGCACATGGAACAAAAACATCCGACGCATATCGAAAATTAATTGCACTTATACGTGAAACTCAAATAACACATTTATATCCTCATTCATCTGATAGCAAAGTAAATGAATCATTTTTTAAAATATATGTATATATTATTTAGAGAAATCTTTTGTGACTTATGTAAGATATTTGATTTTATTATTCTTTTAAAATAAGAAATAATAGGAATGTTAAATACACTTTATAATTTATATTAGGCATTTCAACAGACACCATATCCGTCTTTCAATCCACATATTAATCCATGTACGAAACGATTTTATCTATCACAATGTCCTATACGTATGTTTAAATAGAAGATTTTATTAGATAAATTAAATATTCATTTATTTTTAGTTCCTTATACAGAATTAACATTCGAATTTAATAATAATAATACAAAATTATTTGATGATATAAATACATTTAAATTTATTTGTAAACTAGAATGGAATTTACGTACTAATTATACAAATTGTTCAATGAACCAATCATGTTGTCAATTCATTGGACCAGGTAATGAAAAATGAACTAATTAAGATTAAAGGTATTTACGTACCAAAAATTTCCAGGTCATTAACTAAAATGCTACAAAATAAGCTGATAGAAATAGAACAAATATATACAGATGTTTTTCTTTTTCCGTTAAGTTAAGTGAGCTTCAAATTTGAGCTTTACGAGTTTGAAGTTCTTCGACAAGTTGTAGCTTGCAACTGTGTGCTTTTTTTCTTGGGCATCACCAGTCCAGAGTATCTATTACAGCAATCGAAAACCAATACTTACAGTTTTCAAGTAGAGGTTTTCGCGAAAACTTTAACATCCGTAAACTCCAAGTTTGGAGCGTACTTAGCTTGATCTTCTTTTTCTCATTTCAGTTGATCTTCTCTTTCCTAATGAATTTCGATCATTTGAACAATGTGATAATATAACACAAAATGAATTTGAAGAATATCATAATCAATGGTTATTATGTACATCATCATCATCATCATCTTTATGTTTAAATTCTAAACTTAAAAAATATTTAACTTATCTTGAATCATCATTAAGATTTAAAATTTATTTAACAATTGAAAATGATAAAAACAAACTTTTACATCTCTATGATAATCTATATAATTATAAATTCGACCAAATCTTTTATTTAAAATTCGTACAATTTGATTTAAATGATGAAGAAATTCTTTTAAATTATTTTCTGAAAAAAAATCTTTATTTCATTTCTCTTACAATATTTCTTTACTTTTTTTGTCTTCTATTATTTGTCAAAAATTTATTCTTTATTTTAATAATTAGTTGTCATATATTATTAACATTTTCTTCTTGTTTTATTATTTATTTTTATTTATTTCATTTTCCAATAACAATATTAAATTATACAAGTCTAACATTATATTTATTTTTAATACTTATTGATTCATTTTTATGGTATAATTGTTGGTTTATTAATAATCATAGACGTGATGATTGTACAATTCAACGTATTATTGAAAATTTGCTCACACAAACATTTTTTTATTTAATGCCAAAAAATTTAACAGCTATTATTGCACTTGTTATTACATTTACAAATCAAATTATAGCAATACAATGTTTTACGGTGTTTTCTTTTTTACTTATATTAATATCATTTTTTATTTCATTTACACTCTATCCAGGTAATTTAATTGTATTAATTTAGTTAAAAACAAAACTACAATCAGATAATCTCAAGGTTATAGTATCAATCAATGAAATAAAAAAAAATTCTCACAAGAGAATAGAAAATATCTCATCAACTGATTTGATTAATCCTTTGAGTATCACTATAGTAGATTCTGATAAGATTGTTCTAATGGTAATTATATACCTATGTATATGAAGACTCTTATCTTAATACAATTATTTATTCAGGTAGAAAATCTGATGAACTACTGAACCGTTTGCTATTGAATTACGAGGTTTTAATGATATTGAATGAAATATTTCTTAGACTTGATATATTTTTGTTTGAATATTATTAATCATAGAAAAATAAATATTTTTATCGAAATTTTGTTTTTTCTCTAGCTTCATTTATATTTATTCTTCGTTATCAATCATCTATTCCAACAATTGAACATCTTTCTTATCGTTTTATAACAAGTACAACAAGTTGTTTTATTGATCGGACAATTCCATGTCTTATCGTACGATTTAAAGGATTCTGGTTAACTTTATTTACTATAATATCATGTTTTGCTCTTGCTATTATATTTCAATGGCCGAAATTACAATATGATGTATGTCGATTAACATTTGATACATTACCAGTTCATTTTTCATCAAATATTAATGAAAAATCATTGAAAAGTATAGATATTGATGTAACATATTATATTGGTTCTCGATGGGAAGTGCCATATGAATCATTAATACCACTCAGGGATATTCCAATACTTAATTATAATCGAGAAGATCGCCTTACATCAGAAGCTGCTAGAACATTTTCATACGCATTAAACGAAAATTTAACACAATTAATCCAATTTTGTTCAACATTAAAAAATGAAATAAATAAAAAACAATTAGAACATACAGATTATCATTCAAATGTATCATCACAAATACTTGACAATAATTCAATAATAAGGTAAAGTATACCATGCAACTGAATCAGACATGGGCAACTCCAGCTCCGGAGTCGGAGTTGATATCGCAAACATCGGAGTTGGAATTGAAGTAGAGTTGTGAAAAACGAGATGGAGTTGGTGCTTTTTTGTAACTCCGATTCAACTCCGGCGGATCTCATGACATGCAAGAGAACATCAAAAAATATGTATAGAGAGATAGGCAACTTCAACTCCGGAGTTGACGCTTTTTTACCTGGAGTTGGAATGGAGTTTCGAAAAACGAGATGGAGTTGGAGTTGCTTACCCCCGGAGTTGCCCATCTCTGAACTGAATAGAAAAATTATCTAGAGAAAAAGAAATAAACATATCGAAATTAAAAGATACATGTCATCATTTTTCTATAAATCAGAGTTTATTGTTTTTAATACTATGATTAGGCATGTAACCGAACCCGAACCGTTCGGATTCAGTTGATATTTCATAACTTCCTTTATTATGCATCCACACATGTCAGAAAAATCGTTTCGATGCTTAAATCGTTAGAGTTTGGTCCAAACCCGAACGTTCGGGTTCGCTACATGCCTACCTATGATCTCTTTTCTAATGATTACTAATAATTTGCAATACTAGTAATTCCATTTTAACTGAATATCACTCTCATTTTAGTACGTCAACTCAAGCTGAAAATTTACTATTAAATAATTATCATTGTTTCGGTGATTTATCTTCATCAAATATTGATTCTTCATTAATAACCGATACGAAATTTTCAACCTATATTCTATCTCATAGTAATCAAAGAACCAATTGTACATCATTATGTCCATCAAATCTAACAGATACTAAACAACAATGTTTATCATGTTTAAATTCATTATATTATTCTTCATTAAAAAATAATGATTTAATTTTAATAAAAAATGGTTTACGATATAAAAATGATGGACAAAATCCTCGTTATCTATTTCAAACAATGAATTATAAATGGTTATTTGAAACAAATTTAAATAATTATATTGAATGGTATAATTTAGTAAAGAATTTAAAACGAAATTTTATTACAAATTTTTATTCAAAAATTTTTCCTGAAATGGATATTTGGTGGACAAGTGAAATATTTTCAAGTTTTGCAATCATGGAACAATTACAACAAGAAAAATATCTTTTTATTTCGATTAAATTCATTACCATACTCATTTTCTTAACACTATTTACAGGTGTCTTAGGAATATTTGTTACATTAACAACATTATTAAATTTTGTTACATGTATCGCAACATTAACTTTATTAAATTATAAATTAACAGTTGAAAATATGTCTTATTTTGTAATTGTACTGATTGTATGTTCACAATATTCAGTACTCTATTCAATAAGGTATTAGAGATTTCTTTTTAAATATTATTTTATTTTATTTTTAAAATATTTTTAGTTACAAATTAGCACCAACATTTTTCTTTCAACGTGAAAATCGTACAATGTATTCACTTAAACAATTATGCACGACATTATTTAATTTAACATTTTCAATTGTTATCATCTGTATTCCTTGTCTATTTTCTTCAGTATCATATCTATCAAAATCAGCTATGGTTTATATAATTTCATCTTTAATTAGTCTGATTTATTCAACATTCTTTCTTCAATCACTTCTTTGTTTTATGGGTCCATCAGGACATTTATGTTTTTTTATTCCATGGCGTTTAAAATTTACACGTACTTTAAATAAACATAACAATAATCATAATGATATATCATTACGAAGTTCATCTACTGGTGGTGGTGGTGGTGGTGGTGGTACACGACGACATCATCGTCATTTATCTCATCATCGTATGTCAACATCATCTTATTTTGCTTCATCATATTTCTCTCAAATATTTACTGGTTCAACTTATTTCGAAAGTGAATATGGTGGTATCAATGAAAATTCAGTTATGGCTTCAAGACGACGTGAAAGTTCACGTAGTCATCAAGCATCACATTTAATTAAACATGGTTCATTATTAACAGGAGAATTAATTGAATTATATACACCACGTGCTAGTCTTGCACCACATTTACATCATAATCGTTATTCAAGACAATCATCTGTATCACGTGGTCTTACATCATTAACACCGGCGCGACCACTTTATATATCTCCTTCTATATCACCCTATTCACAATTAAGTATACATTCACAAGCTCCTAGTCAACAACGTACACCATCTCCTCGTATTCTTCGACCATCACGATCAAGATCACCACGTTCATTTGCACCAATAACAACTACAAATTTACTTCGACCATGTTATTCAGCACCACGTCTACATGTACCATTACATCGAGTACCAACATCAAGTATGAAGCAAAATGATGATATACTTGAAGAAACTCAAGTACCAATTGTACAACCAACAAAAAAAACAGTTATGATTATTCAACGACAAGATGCTATAGCATCAACAGATGATATTGAACAATTATCACCTATAACAAATTCAAAATTATCAGCTACTGCACGAAGAAATTTATTGAAAGCAACAACAACTGAATCGGGTGATCTTGTTTGGCTTAAACGATCAAATAGTAGTTAGATTTTATTTATAATTATCATTGATCGAATTCTTATCTAAGTGTGATCTGTTCCTCATTTATATAATTATACATAATTCTAGTGGTAATCTTATATCAATTTTTTTATTCTTGAGTATGTATGTGTGTGTGTGTGTATGATCATTTTTTTATCAGATAATTATTAATTCATATATGGTTTAGGCAAAATATAGCCATAATTATAAGAAATCTTTTTATTTTACTGTTTAGGTTAATATCATTTATAAATTTGATGAATGTCAGAAGATTACGATTTTTCTCTTTTTTTTGTTTGTTTGTTCGGTCGAATGTTTTTTTTTGTTAAAAAATAAAATATGATGGAAAAAATTTTTTATTTGTACGATTAGATTTACAGTTATTCTATTTTTATATTTCATTTATTATCAATCTAAGAAAAACAGATGATGATAATAATAATGGTTATTTATAAACTGAAATATGAAGTCAAAACACAGTTGAATATACTTGTCTTAGTTATTAATCTATTTATATAGAAATAGTATTCATGCTTAATAGGATAGCTCATATCAAAACTCTTTTATATTCTGTTAATTATTATTACTGTTGTGAACTTTGAAATGTTTGATTAATATCTGTTATAGACAGATAGTCTATCATCTATAAAAATGAATTTTATAAACTTATTTAATTATATATTCAATATGACAGTTTATAAATATTATATGAGTATTTTTTCTTCTAAAAGGCATTTACTAAGTACCTTTTTACTTGTGTAGGCGTTGTTATTATCTTTCATTCATTTGACGTCATACATACTATCTTTAGATTGAAACTTCAATAATTCATTTATTACAATTAGATTATGTCAAAACATTTCAGTTAATATTTTATTCAACTATTGTCATCAGACAAAATAGATCTTATTATAGAACTTTCTTATGTCTTCTTTATAATGTCAATATGCTCCAGTTCTTCTGTTCGCACTAATTCAGCGGATTTTCATAATTAAATGTCTTCTATTATTAGATAAACATAAAACATAAATCAAAAACAATCCATTATTTCCTCTTTCTAATCAAATCTTTATTGCAAATAGTATAAAAACAAAAAACTCCTCGGTAAACTTATCACTTTGCTGATCCAACAGCACCTACTAATTGTTTTATGATACCCATCAATGCAACAAAATCACGAAATTGTAATTCACCATCATGATTGGTATCGACCATGTCAAATAATGTTTTTGCAGCATATTTACTTATAAAACCAAGACCCATTTCTTCAAGCATTATTTGAACATCTTCAACTGTGATTTTTCTGTCGTTATTTTTATCTAATGTTTTCCACTAAATTCAAAAAAATAAATAACTAAATAGAATAGAAAAACAAATGAAAACATACAAGAAAATACATTTGTTTTACATTTCCAAACATTCCACTTTTGACTTTAACATTTGTTGGTGGTTTAACTTCGTTTGAAACATCATAGCCATGTTTTGAAAGAACTTGTTCAGCTGCATTCAGATAACTATTTAGTCGACCTTTTGAACTATTTGCTTTACTAAGTGGTTCATGCATATTGTTTGGTACGAGACCTTTTAACCAATTATCTAATGAAGTGGGTGGTGGTTGTTCAGTAAGACTTTTTGACCATTGATTGAGCCAGGTACCTAGATCACCATTTGCCGGATTAATATCATTACTAATCGTAGTAATTTCTGTTGTACCAACAGTTGTGTCAGTAGATGGATGTAAGTTACTTGGTCCCATACGGTGCATCCAACTTTTAATATCTTTTGGTGGAGGTGTCTCTTGCGATTGTTGTTGTTGAGGTAATGGTGTTTGAATAGGATCATCTAGACGAAGTCGTAAACCTGTAATCCAATTTTGAACATCAGCTGGTGAAGCTATCTGTTCATTATTATCTACTTTATTTAGATCGGGATGTTCGAATTCTTCGACTATCAAGTTTTCCGTTTCGTTATGGAATTGATTTATATATTCTTGAACATCAGGAATACCAGCCTTAGCAAGCATACGATTAAGTACTCCATTATTAATATCAGTTTGATTTATAGTTGCCAAGTTCTCCATTGATTTGTTAATAACAGAAAGTGATAAAGACTAAAATGTTTGTATATAAAAAATATGCTATTGTTTTGTAAGTAAAGATAAGAAAATAGCGAGCACAAGCACGTGACGTTTTGTATTCAAACAGAAAAAAACGAAAAATATGTGACGAGTTACTCAGTAACCAACATGAATCATCAACATGTTTAATGTTAAATATTTATATATTCATTGATTAAATCGTGTATTAAAATATGAAAGACACTTATTATAAGGTTAGAAAAGTGATCATGTCAATAATTATCATATATATTGTCAGATACATTAAAACGATCAGACACGATAATTAGAATAATGAACCATAATATCAAATCGGTAAGTACATTTTCATACAAAATTGAACCAATCAAACTGAGTTTTTTTTTCTAGAAATCATGATTATTTATATGTTTATGAAAAGATAAATTGGAATATAATAGAGTGGTTTCATAATACACTAAAAATGCATGAAATATAGTTTAGAAAAAAAGAAACAAAAAAAAGATTCAGTTATACTATAGTCTTACAACTTAACACATTTCCATCGTCGACTCTATATTGTCGTACTTTATTGGATCTTTTCAAAAAAAATCAGGACTTTTACATTAATTTTTGTGATACAATATCATCTGATAAAGTGAGTATTTTATGTTATCATGAACATTTGATTAATATTGATTATTGTATTTCAAGGATTAGCTAATCATACAAATGTACAACAGAACCGAAAATATTTATATAAAATGATTTCTATCCTTTTTTCTAAAGACATCCTAGAAAATATATTAATAATATTTGTTGTAAGAATGTTTTTATACGTTCACAAAATACGAAAAATATATATGAGGGAACTTATCCCGCCATGATCTTCGAGGCTCTAATGCATTTTTCTTAAAAAAAAAGCGAAAAAGATAAGTGTATATAACCCTGTTTATTATATAATAATAACAGACGTTTCCATCATTCTGTATCGAAACAAGATTATGTTGTCTTAAGGTTCAGTTTATTCAAAACAATAAAACTATACAAAAAATACATAAAACGTATTCAAAATGAGTATATAAATATATGACTTAAGACAAAAAAAAATTATAAATATATATAAAAACTTTTGTATATCATAAATAACAGTTCTTCATCACTTTCGTAGCTGTTGTTCTTGAACAGAAAATGTCTTTATTATCATTTATTAAATGCATGGTTTTTTTAATCTTGACGGACATTTGATATGTGCAGTTACACAATTGAAAACATTATTTGATGCAAAAGCTACAACAAACAAAATCAAAGCATTAATTTAGTAAAATACTTTCATGTTACTTACCTTTAATGCATTCATCTTCAGTCCATGAACCGAAATTGCCTATTGGTATACATGAACAAATGTCCATGAATATGATGACCAACAGAACTGCTACAACAAGACGCATGTTAAATGACATATTGCCTAGTTAATATTCTTAATTTGACTATAGGATTATAATAAAAGTGTAATGTAATTGAAATAGTACATGTAGGTGCTGCTTTTATAGTAATGTACTTCCACATTTGTTCTCGATGTGACATTATTTACTTTTATCATAATAATCACGACAAAAAAAGCACCTACATAAGTTAGAAATTCAGCTCATTAATATGAATCATGACACTTGGTTTTTTCCTTCTATAACACATCTAAATAATTATTTATTGTACTTTGAATAATTGACATCATAGAAATAATATCAGTTCTTATCTATTGGAACGATGGTACATATTCTAATATTTTTGATTAAAAAGATATGGTGGCAAAATATTAGATAGTCAAACAAAAAAAATTTCAATTCAATAATTGTATATTTGTCGTTAAAAACAAACTTCACATGCGCTACCTTAATAAAAGCATGAGTCATTGAAGCTGGCAGTGTGCCAAAACGGATATACAGAACAAGTAACGAAAACGAAAAAAAAATAATCAGATAAAAATCACATTATCGATATTGAAAAAATCATACGCTTTACAAAATCAGGTTGACGAAAAAAAAACAACATGATATATCCTAATAAAATCATATATTTTACGAAATCAGGATAATCGAAATACATCTATGAGTACAAACATTCGAATTCTAGTTATAGTAAAGGAACTATGACTATGTCGGTAAGAGTTTGTTTTACAAAAGGATTGACTTTATAGATTAGTAATTGTATCTAATAAATACTATATATACTAGTTCTTACTGTCAACAAAATGAAAAAATACTGATCCTATTTAGTTTATCTATACGTTTCAAATAAGTAAAAATAATATGATGACATTGATTCCTATCGAATAACAACAAGAATGTGTAATTATAACGAGTTAAACGTTTAGAATTGTGAAAATTTATCATGATCGAAAGTTTCTGTTATCAGATAATTTACTAGTAAAGTTTGATTATAGCTTTAAAAAAATTCGTTTGTATAGAAATATCCTCGAAAGTTTTAACATATTTTTATCGTGTTCAAGTAAATTCCTAGTAATTATTTCTACATTTCACATACTCCAATTCTCCCATGTGCGTACGTGTCTGTATTGACGTCTTTTGAAATGACATCATTCATACTCACTGACTGACATACTTTGATAAGTTAGTATTCATAAGTTTAGTAAATCAACATGTTATATTTATTGTTTTATTCAACTATTGTTATCCGACAGAATAAATCTTATCATAGACCTGTCTTATATTTTTAAGAATGTGCGTTGTCGTCGAGATTCACTGCATCTAACGTCCAAACCCTATTTCGATCAATCTGAATCAAAACAAGATTATTTTGTCTTAATCTTCAGTTTATTCAAAACAAAAATAATATGCAAAAAATATATAAAACGTATTCAAATTCAGTTCATGTATATGAGATAAGAGAAAAAAATTATAAATATATATAAAACTTTTTGTATGCCATAAATGACGCATGAATCCGACAAATAAAAAATCTTCATCACTTTCGTAGCTATTGTCCCTGACTACAAAATAGCTTTTCGCATGTACTAGAAGTACGTAATCTTGGTGGACATTTGACACATGCATATGTACAAATGAATAAATCCGTAAATTTTAAAGCTAGAAAAAAAAAGAAATGATTAATTTAATAAAATACTTGCACGTTACTTACCTTTAATACATTGATCTTCGGTCCACGTGCCTAAAATACTCATTAAGGTACATGGGCGAATATTTATGAACATGATGACCAATAGAACAGCTATAACAAGACGCATATTAAATAATATATTGCCTAATTAGTATTCGTAATTTGACTATGGGATTATAATAAAAGTGAAATGCAGTTGACACGGTTAATATAGGTGCTGTATTCATAGTACTGTACTTTGACCTCAAGTATTACATCATTTGTATGTATCGTGATGATGAATACCTAACTCCTACACAAGTCGGAAAATTTAGGAGACCAATATGACACCTGAAACTTGGTTTCTCCCAACTATGATATACTCAAATAATTATATATTATACATTGGATAATTACCATCATAGCAATAATATCAATTCTTATCTATTGGAACGATTGTAGATATCCTAATTTTTTTCATTAAAAGGTATTGTAGCAAAATATCAGATAGTAAAAGAAAAAAAATTTCATTTCAATAACTGTATATTTGTCATTGAAAACAAACTTGACACGCATTAGTTTAAAAGGAGCATGATTCACTAGGAACTCGCCACGCATCAAAACGTATATGACAAAACGATTAACGAAAGAAAAAAAAATAGTCACATTAAAATCGTATTATCGGTATTGGAAGAATTATACATTTTACAAAATCACGTTTATTATGAAGGTCATAAATGTGACGAAATCAGTATAATCGAAATACATGTATGAATACCAACATTCGAATTCTAATTATAGTAAGGGAACTGTGATTATGATGCCAAGAGTTTGTTTTGCAAAACGATTGAATTTAGAGATTAGTAATTGTATGTAATAAGTATCATATCTACTAGTTATTATTATCAAGAAAAAAACACACATTCTTGTTTATATGATAAAATATAACTGATCATACTTAGTTTATCTAAAGGTTTGCAAGAAGTAAAAATAATATGATAAAATTGATTAATACTGAATAACATACAAGAATGTTTAATTATATCGAGATAAATATGTGGAATTATGAAGAACTATTATGATCGAAAATTTATTTTATAAAATAGTTTTCTAGAAAAGTTTGATTATATCTCCAATTTAAACTTGTACTAGATGATAGTTAAACAACATTTGTGACATCTATATTATAAGTAATTTCAGTAATGATTATGAATAAAATATTTTTTCATTAACTACCTTTTTGTTCCACTAAAAAGAATTCTATTGCATAGAGAGATGCTTGAAAGTTTCAAAATATTTCCATCATGTAGAAATAAATTCCCCAGTAATTAATTCTACATTTCACATACTTCAATTCTTCAACATACGCAAGTATTTGTAATAACGTCTTTTGAAATGACATCATATATATATCCACCGAATGACATACTTTGATAAGTTATTATTGATAAACTTAATGCATCAGCATATTACATTGATTGTTTTATTCAGCTCTTGTATCCATAATTCAGCGAATATTCATAATTAAACATCTTACGGATGTTATTGTAAGATATCAAATGATTTCTTCTTTTAAAATCAATGTGTTCCGCCTTGCCTGTATTAGTAAAATAATATTGAGAAATAAAATATACACATATTGGTTTTTGATATTTCACAATATACAAAAGAATGACAAATATCATACTGTTATTATTTTACATTGATTTAGTTATACTATAGTCATACAACTTAACACATTTTCATCATATACTCTATATTGTTCTACTTTACTAGACATTCTCCCAAATTAAAACTTCTATATTAATTCTTTTCTACGATATCGTACAGTTTACGTTGGTTATGAAACCAAAGAAAATAATACTATATAGTCTGACAAAGTGAGTATTTTGTATTAGCACGAACATTCAATTAATATTAATAATTGTGTTTCAAGGATTAGTTAATAATACAAATCTAGAACAGAACAGAAAGCATTTGTATAGAATGATTTTTATCCTTTTCTTTCAAAAGACATTCTAGAAAACATATTAATAATATTCGTTGTAAGAATATTTTCATAGGTTAACAAGATACGACAAATATATGTACAAGAGCTTGTTATACCATGACCTTCAAGGCTCTAATTTATACTTTTATATTCTAAAATTGAGCGAGTGATGAGTAGTAGTTATAAGTTGAAATCTTCTCGATTACTTTGAACAACATTTAGTTCACTAGCAATCATTTTCGGATATATATACTATACTTTGTTCATTGATATTAATAATATAGAAAAAATACAAGGAGTAACAAAATAACAATATCAAGTAATTATTCAGTCTATTACGTCACTTGTTTTAAATTCCAGTCATAACATTTTGCATTATATGACAAACTTTTCTTAGTAAAAAAGTGAAATAAATATCATTTATTCTCTTATAGATCTACCATTCAAAAATTCTACGACCAAAAAATATATAAAACAACTATATACTTCATTTATTGAAGGAAAAGACTTCCAATATTGATTATTCAACTCAAAATAACTTATTCAACGCATATAGATAAGTTTATATAACACTGTTTATTATATAATGATTGAAAATACTTACATCACTTTGTATCGAATCAAAATTATGTCGTGTTAATCTTCAGTTTATTGAGAATAAAAAAAATATACAGCAACGTATTAAACTTCATCATATACATATATGACACAAGAGAAAAGGAATTATAAATATATATATATATATATATATATATAAGTTTTTGTATGCCTTGAGTGACGCATGAATCGCCAATAAATAAAAAATCATCATCGATTCCGTGGCTATTGTGCTTGAACAAAAAGTAGCTTTTCGCATGTACTAGAAACAAGGTATTTTTTCGGGCATCTGATATACGCAGCTACACAATTGAAAAAATCATCTGATGCAAAAGCTAAAACAAAAAAAAATTAAATAATTAATTTAATAAAATAGTTGCATGTTACTTACCTTTAATACATTCATCTTTGGTCGACGGATTTAAACTACTCCTTGACATACATGGGCAAATGTCCATCAACATAATAAGCAACAGAACTGCTACGACAAGACGAATATTAAATAACATCTTCACTATTCAGTATTCTCAAAATGACTATTGAATTATAATAAAAGTGTACTGCAATTGGCACGTACAAATGTTGTCTTTATAGTACTATATATACCTTGGCATATGTTCTCAGGTATTACAGCATTTATATTCATCATAATCGTCACCACACGAAAAATTCCTACACAACTTGGAAATTTCAACTGAGTAATATAACTCATGACACTTGGTTTTTTCCCGATTATAATATACTCAAATAATTATATATTGGACGTTGGATAATTCCCATCATAGAAATAATATCAGTTCCTACCTATTGGAACGATTCACCTATCCTAATGATTTGCATTAAACAAATATTGTAGTAAAATATAAGATAGTCAAATAAAAACAATTTCATTTCAATAATTTTATATTCGTCGTTGAAAACAAACTTGTCATGTGCTACCTTAATACGAGCATGATTCACTAGGAACTGGCAGTGTGCCAAAGCGATATGCAGAACAGGCAACAAAAACGAAAGAAAAATAATCAAATACAAATCACATCCTCGATATTGGAGAAAATATACACTTTACAAAATCACGTTTATTATGGAAGTCATATATGTAACAAAATCAGTATAATCGAAATACATGTATGAATACTAACATTCTAATTCTAATTATAGTAAAGGAACTGTGATTGTGTTGGCAGAAACTTGTTTTAAGTCAGAAGTTTTTATTTCAAAAAGATTCAAACAATACTGGTGCCATCTATATTATAAGTAATTTCAGCAATAATTATAAATGAGATATTTCTTCATAGACTCTTTTGTGTAACTATGAAGAAGTCGTTTGCATAGAAAGATGCTTGAAAGTTTTCAAAATATTTCCATCATGTAGAAATAAATTCCCAGTAAATAATTCTACATTTTCCACTAAGTTTCACGTAAATAGTTTTTTACAGGTTACACACTTCAAATCTTCCACATACGTATGTGTCTGTATTATTGTCTTTTGAAATAACATGATACATATTCACCAAATGATATACTTTGATAAGTTATTATTCATAACTTTAGTAAATCAATATATTACATTGATTGTTTTATTCATCTCTTGTGTCCATCATTCAGCGAATGTTCATAACTAAATATCTTGAGGGTGTGAGTATAAGATTTCAAGTGATTCCTGCTGTTCAAACCAGTTTATTTTACCACACCTGTATTGATAAAACAATATTGAGAAACAAAAAATATATATATATTGATTTTTGATGTTTCACAATATACAAAAGAATGACAAATATCGTAGTATTATTACTTTATATTGATTTAGTTATACTATAGTCTTACGACTTAACACATTTTCACCATATACTCTATATTGTTCTACTTTATTAGACATTTTTGAAAAATGAAAACTTTTATATTATTTTTTTTTACAGTGTCGTACAGTTTGCTTTGACTATGAAACAAAAGAAAATAATACTATATAATATGATAAAGTGAATATTTTATAAACAATGAACATTCAATTAATATTAATAATTGTATTTCAAGGATTAGCTAATAATACAAATGTACAACAGAATAGAACAAATCTGTCAATTAGAAAGATAATATGTACATCAAAATAGGTGTACATATTTATGTAAAATGATTTCTATTCTTTTTTTCCAAAAGACATCCTAGAAAACATATTAATAATATTTGTTGTAAGAATCTTTTCCTAGGTCAACAAGATACGTAGATAAGTGTATATAACCCTGTTTATTATATAATAATAACAGACGTTTCCATCACTCTGTATCGAAACAAGATTATGTTGTCTTAATCTTTAGTTTATTCAAAACAAAAAAACTATACAAAAAATACATAAAACGTATTCAAATTGAGTACATAAATATATGCGATAAGAGCAAAGAATTATAAATATACATAAAAATTTTTGTATGACATGAATGGAGCATCAATTCGAAATAAATAAAGGATCTTCATCACTTTCGTGGCTATTGTGTTTGACCAGAACATTGTTTTTCGCATCCACTGAAAAACACGTTAACTTTTTTCACATTTGAAAAACGCACATCTACGAAGAAATTGACTACTTGATACGGAAGCTGGAAAGAAAATGAAATGGTTAATTTAATAAAATACTTTCATGTTACTTACCTTGATCACATTCGTTTTTGGTCCACGTACGTAAATTGCAGCTTAGCCGCCTTGGTTCACATGAGCAAATATCCACAAACATGATAAGTAACAGGATTGCTACGATAAGACGAGTATTGAATAACATCTTCACTATTCAGTATTCTCCAAATGACTATAGGATTATAATAAAAGTGAAATGCAGTTGATACGGTATATATAGGTGCTGTTTCTATAGTACTGTACTTTGATCTTTGTTCTCAGGTATTACATCATTTATATTCGTCATAAAAGTCACTACAAAAAAACTCCTACACAACTTGGAAAAATTCAATTGATCAATATGACTAATGGCACTTGGTTTTTTTCCCGATTATAATATACTCAAACAATTATATATTGTACGTTGGATAATTCCCATCATAGAAATAATATTACTTCCTATCTATTGAAGCCATTCAATCTCTCCTGATTTTTTAATTAAACAGATATTATAGTAAAATATTATAGATAGTCAAACACAAACAATTTCATTTTAATAATTATATATTTATCGTTGAAAACAAACTTGACATGCGCTATTTAAATGAAGGCATGAATCACTACGAACTGCCAATGTGCCAAAAACAATATGCAGAACAGGTAACAAAAACGAAAGAAAAATAATCCAATAAAACTCATATTCTTAGTATTTGAGTAACCATACACTTTACAAAATCGTGTTTATTAAGGAAATCATAAATGTGACGAAATCAGCATAATCGAAATACATGTATGAATACCAACATTCGAGTTCTAATTATAGTAAAGGAACTATGACTATGTTGGAAAAAGTTTATTTTAAGTGGGAAGTTTCTGTTTCAACAAGATTTAGTTTAGAGATTAATAACCATATGTAATAAGTATCATATCTACTAGTTATTACTGTCAAAAAAACAAAAACACATATTCTTGTTTACATGATAAAATATAACTGATGCTACTTAGTTTATTTGAATGTTTACAACAAGTAAAAATAATATGATGACATTGATTGACATTGAATTAAATATAAGAGTGTGTAATTATAACGAGATAAATATGTGGAATTATGTAAAACTATTATGATCAAAAATTTATTTTATAAAATAGTTTTCTTGTAAAGTCTGATTATATCCTGGGATTTAGACTAGTAGTAGATGATGATGATTAAACAACATTGGTGACATCTATATCGTAAGTAATTTCAGCAATAATTATGAATAAAGTCTTTTTTCATAAACTTTTTTTGTTTAACAATAAAGAATTCGTTTCCATGGAAAGGTACTCGAAAGTTTTGAAATATTTCGATCACGTACAAATAAATTCCACATTTCACATACTCCAATTCTTCAATATACGTAAGTATTTGTATTAACGTTTTCTAAAATGACGTGCTTTGATAAGTTATCATTGATAAATTTAGTAAATGAATATATTCCAGTTTTTGTTTTATTCAACTATTGTAAGCCTATCTTATATTCTTGTGTCCATAATTCAACGGATTTTCATAATTAAATAACTGCTATTATTAGATAAATATAAAACATAAATCAAAAACAAGCCATTATTTTCTCTTTCTAATCAAATCTTTATTGAAAATAGTATAAAAACAAAAAACCCCTCGGTAAACTTATCACTTTGCTGATCCAATAGCACCTACTAATTGTTTTATGATACCCATCAATGCAACAAAATCACGAAATTGTAATTCACCATCATGATTGGTATCGACCATTTCAAATAATGTTTTAGCAGCATATTTGCTAATAAAACCAAGACCCATTTCTTCAAGCATTATTTGAACATCTTCAACTGTAATTTTTCTATCATTATTTTTATCTAATGTTTTCCACTAAATTCAAAAAAATAAATAACTAAATAGAATAGAAAAACAAATGAAAACATACAAGAAAATACATTTGTTTTACATTACCAAACATTCCACTTTTGACTTTAACATTTGTTGGTGGTTTAACTTCATTTGAAACATCATAGCCATGTTTTGAAAAAACCTGTTCAGCTGCATTTAAATAACTATTTAGTCGACCTTTTGAACTATTTGCTTTACTAAGTGGCTCATGCATATTGTTTGGTACGAGACCTTTTAACCAATTATCTAATGAAGCTGGTGGTGGTTGTTCAGTAAGACTTTTTGACCATTGATTGAGCCAAGTACCTAGATCACCATTTGCTGGATTAATATCATTACTGATCGTAGTTATTTCTGTTGTATCAATAGTTGTCTCGGCAGATGAATGTACGTTACTCGGTCCCATACGATGTAGCCAGCTTTGAAGATCTTTTGGTAGAGGTATCTCTTGTGATTGTTGTTGAGGTAATGGTGGTTGAATAGGATCGTCTGGGCGAGGTTGTAAACGTGTGATCCATCCTTGAATATCCTTCGGCAATGGAGGCTGAGGTTGTGGTTTTGGTTGTTGTTCTTGTTCGGATGATGCAGGCTTGTTATGATCATCCAAACGAGGTCCTAAGCCTGTGATCCATCCTTGAATATCCTTTGGCAATGGAGGTTGTGGTTTTGGTTGTTGTTCTTGTTCAAATAATACAGGTTTAATAGGATCATCGACATTAGGACGAAAACCAGTGATCCAACTTTGAATATCAGCCGGTGGAACAATTTGTTCATCATTATCTAGTTTATCTGCATTTGGATGTTCGAATTCTTCAATTATTAATTCTTCTGTTTCTTGATGAAAATGTTTTATATATTCTTGAATGTCAGGAATACCTGCTTTATTAAGCATACGTATAAGTGCACCATTATTAATATCTGCTTGAGTTATAGTTGCTAAATTTTCCATTTATGGTTAATAATAGAAGCGTATACGAAATCAAGGCTAGTATATATGTAAATATTCGTCTATTTTATAGGCAAAGATAAGAAGGACAACATACATCATGTCACTGTTTTACGTCATCGACGAAAACAAAACAAATAGAAACGAAATAACTATTTCTTAGGAGTTTTGATGAATCACACTTTCATGTGATGAGTAATATATTTTATTCAATGAACGAAGCAATAGCTACCAATGAAAGAAAGTTAAGATATGATTAACTATTATAAATATAAAAGAGATATAAATGTTTGTGTCTGTCAAGTTAGAATATTTATTACTGAGCGCCACCAAATTGACCATTAAGTTTGTTTAGAATAGCAGTTAATGCCATAAGATCAGTAAAATCAAGTGTACCGTTATGATTTTGATCGACTGCTTGAAATAAACCTTTAGCTATATCTAAATCAATGAAGTTAAGTTAAAATCATCTAAATTTAAGTTTAAATATTTACATGGTGAGACAAATCCAAGTCCCATTTCTTGAAGATATAGTTCTATATCTTCAACAGTTATTTTTCCATCACCATTTTTATCAAATTGTTTATAAACAGCATACATTTTTTGAGCATTTTGAACTGTAGAACCTACAAGAAATATTATATTCTTATCGTCTTTTCACAGTCACTAATCTATCATACCGATATTATCAAGAAAATTACCACCACCACCACCGCTACCGCTTTGATCACCTGAAAACATTTTGTATGCTTTCATAGCACCTTGAACCATATCGAGAGGATTACTATCACCGTCACCACCATGGCCACCACCACCACCACCAGAAAACTAGATACAAAATGAATTTATTTGTAAGAAAATATTTTCCTTAAATACTTTATTTAACATTGAACTTCCCATTGAGAATAAATTTGCTTGTTGACCTGATGCATGTTGAAGTGTTGCATCTTCATCATAATCATCATCTCCTTGGTGTGGAGCAACACTTGCTTGTGCGGCCTCATTTCGAAAGTCTTGAACAAATGAACCAACATCATCAATACCAACTTCTTGAAGCATTTGATTTAACATGCCTTTTTGTAATTGTTCACGACCGAAATTAAATATACTCATTTTTGCGAAATTCTAATCTGAAAATACGAATAATACAAAGTGTAATACAAGATTTATTATTAATCCGACCAAACAACGTGCAAGGACAGAAACGAAATAAGCTAACGAACGAAAACCTATCTACCTATGTTGTGTTTTTTATTTGGTATTTATCAAAACACGTGCTCTATGTGATGATTGTAAATATGAATAGAAAAAGAAAATGAATGTAGTTAGTCATTTTCTCTCGTCGGGAAGCTTTTAAGAAACTCCTACAAGCGTAATATGAAAGATTGAATGATATCAGATGATGAAAAATATAAGATGAATAATACAAAAAAGTTACTGAATGAATTATCTATCAAATAAAATTAATCTCTAATTAGAATAAGTCATAATATAGTTATATATTAAATGAAATACAGATTTAATATTTTATTACATATCAACATTGAAATCATTCAAGAATAAATGATAAAATACACGTAATTATTTAGAAAAAATGATGTGTTGTCTTTTTAATAAACTTTCATTGAAAGAAAGTAAAAACAAAATTAACTTTTTTTCATGCTTCTGCCTCGATTCTTGTTCATATCTGACAATCTGGTCTTGAGTTCTTCTGGAGTAGTTGGTTTTTTCAATTTCTCCCAGACACTCTTACAGGGCCAACGTCCTAAAAAAATGCTATCGTCCCATGTGGCTGTTCCAAAATCTAGAAATATTATTAAGAAGAAATCAATTATTTTATAAAATAACTTACCGTCTATACATTCTTTTTCTGATTTATGACTTGTAAATAAACCACCAGACACCAACGATATACAATACATGAATGTCAAAAAGATGAATATTTTCATAGTTGAAGTTTCTAAATCAAACAAATAAAACATAATGATTCCATTTGAATTATTTAATCTATATATACATGTACACTATGAATTCATTCAGGTAAATACCTAAGACTATCTATATTGGAAATATTCAATCAAAATAGTTACCAAGTTGAAAAAACACGGAAGTATCGTAATCGATTCTTATTTCTATCTACTATGACGAATAAATGTAACAATAATCATAAAACAAAAGGTCGATCAAATTACAAAAGAAAACTATTTCAAGATTATTGATATAGAAACTAATAGAAGAGCATTATATATTTCAGTTTTAAATTCTATTTGATTTGAGAAAAATATTTTGCAAACAACTTACGTTAAATATTTAATCGAATGTATACTCTTGTTGAATTTATTTGTCTTTATATACTAGTTTCAATTGTTTCAAAGTACAAAATTGACATTTCTGGAAAAGAAATAAATATCTACGGGAAGAATGTATATAATCCCATATTATTCCAGGTATTTAAGAATTCTCAACAGTTTGTTTTGTAAGTTTCTTTATCAAAGTTTCAATTTCCATATTATTAAACATAAATTAGGTTACTATATGAGTTATAGTACCTTACGTTATAAAAATTCCCATATATACATAAATTATATGACTTGATTTACAAATTAGTCTTATCGTAATATTCCCATCTCAGATTGTTGAATGTCTAAAATACATAAAAATAAATAATCGTCTTAAATTTTATATTGACAATATTTATACCTTGGTTTGATTCCTGTTCTACATATTGCAAAAATTGATTTGACTTGAAAAAAATCATCCAGCAATGGCATAGATCTAACTATAGTATGAGAATTCAATTCATTTGTTAGGTTTTCGTGAAGTTTTCGGGTTCTTATAAATAAATAATTTATGGAGATATCGTTTTTTTGTCCAAATGTATCATTGGATATTTAATTACCCTATGAGAAAAAACAACAAGTATATGTGCTCTTCTTCGTTTTATTTTTTCAAACAAACAATAAATGTAAAGAATCTATAATGAATTATAAAACTATTATATTTAAAATATTTTTACTAATCTATACTAATAAAAATTTATGTATTATTTTTAATCAATAAACACTCCCTAGAATATCGTATTTATCTGTTGTTTTCTTTGCATAATACACTCGAACGATTTCTGTAGAATTATTTCTATTCATCGTTTTCATTAGAAAAAAAATCAGAAATTTTTCTTCGAATAATTATTTTATTTTACATGACAAAAATACAAAACAAAAGTTCTTATTAATTGTTACATTAAGTTTTTATTCAAAAAAAATGACATCATATAAATTAATTGATGTTATTTCATCTAAACTACAAATAATCTGCTGTATTCTACCGATATAAGTACAAATCATCGAGTTCATTATCATTATCTTCAACATTATTTATCGAGCGTTTAGCAATAATCGATTCTGGTTTTTTCATTTTCAAACGCCATTTTTTGGGACACACAAATAAAGCTTGTAGTTGTTGATTGATATCATCTGATGAGAGATCTAATCATAAAACAAAATATTTAAATTAATTATAAAGAAAAATGATTATACGAACAAGCTTTGCATTCAGCTTCTGTTAACAGTCGAGAAGATGGCATACCATTAACAGTCACTACAATCAAGATGGTAATTACAAATAATCCAAAACAAAACGACATTATAATTCGAATTGATATTAAACTATCTGTTGTAGTGATACTGAAATACTATATATATATAAAATTACTGTATTATTTATATTCAATGTTGTAGCTGACTAAAAATACATAACTTAAATGCCATTCATTTCAAAATATACATATTAAATTTACAAGAAAAAACATATCTGCCTCATATAAAATCATGTTCCCACTAATATTCGAAGTATTTAATTGAATGAAGTATCATGACATTTTGTATAGTTAATCATAAATATTTTTGATAAATTTAGTTAGTATCAATATCTAACAATAAAAAAAGAATGCATTATATAACTATTCAAATTACATATCATATAAGATAGCAAAGCAAAAAATATATATCCCACATTCTTATAACAATATAATTTATCATATAAAATTAAATATTACATTCGAAATAAACGAACGGGGTCTTGTGATATTACTATGAATAATTTTATAGTTTATCAAAAGCATCCCATGAGGAAATAGCTTAAATTCTCCGTTGTTTACATATTGTATTTAATTACTATTACGCAGTATCAAAAAACTTGAAGAATCACGTAGTACAATAGAATTCTCCTTTTATTTATAAAAAAAAACAGAATTTTACAATGTATTAATGAAAACCTGAGTATTATTGAAATGTTATCTTTGTTCGTAGTCTTTTGTTATTATTGAAAAAACTTAAAAATCATGATTTGAATTTTGAACGCCATTTTGTTGGACAAATAAAGAAAGCTTGAAGTTTCTTATTAATATCATTTGATGCTAAATCTATTGCAAAATAAAAAATCATTAGATTTATTATAATTATATATGACTTACAAGTTCTGCATTCGCTTTCAGTTAATGGACTGATTAAATTTACACTATTTATAGTAATTATTAATAAACCAAAAATAATTAAAAGATAAAATCGTGAAAACATTATGAATTCTAAAAGAGTTAATATGGAAATATATATGGGCATAGTCAATCTTGTGATACTCTTGTCATTTTTAGAGGCCTATGTGTAGTGTCCTGCGGGAACGACTTTTTTTCCCTTCTCATTCCCATGGGAATGGGAACAGAGCTAAATTTATTTCACTATACAAAAATATTTCTATCTAATAACTGTTTATTTTTAATAATTTTTGTTATTCATATATAATTAACAGAAACTATCGCTTTATTCTTAACTACATCATAATGTAATCATCAGAAATAAAATTTTCTTTTTCATCATCTTGTCGTAACACTTCATTACTATCATGTTGCTGTGATCAATCGTTCTTATCATCCTCTGTTTAATACTTCCGTTTCTTCATCGCCGTAGTTGATGTACTACTATTTTTTCGTTTTTTATTTGTTAAATAGATGTGGAAATAATTCTTTCAACAATGATAAGTTTCGACGTATAAATCATATTTTGTATGCTATTAAAAAAGCAAGCATCAGTAGAATATTCCTCTAATCATTACGTACTTTTAATTTATTTAATAACATGTTACTATGCGCAGAACTTGGTGTCACCAGCAACTGATACACATATATGATAATGACCCTTTTCTCGCAGATGAAGAGAGCCTTTGAAAACTTACGGAATTAAAGGAACGGGAAGTAACAAAAAAAACGAAGGGAATGGGAAGCAAAAAAAGTTGTTTCCGCAGGACACTACTATATGTCGCTAGAATAGAAAAATTTTCAAGTACTTCTTTAGAACTAGTAGTCAAAACGCAAATGATCATACAAAATGAAACAACATGTTCTACTATTTATTGCGAAGTTGAATGTTTATCTAAGTTCATGTTACATAGAGCAGGAACAACCTGTGTGATTTACATCCTGTTAGTTTACATCCTTCTCTAAGTTATATAAATGAACATGATATAAACTACGTTTTGACAGTGATTATATAAGTATGTTTCAAAAATCGTCTATTCTAACGACATATCGCTAGCAGTATATTTGTAATATATGTAGTAAGAACTTCACGTTTTCCTGCTAAATAATTCTAGTAAAATAAATGAGGGTATCATATGACTGACCATGCCCATATATATTATATTATGTTTGTCATAACATTTGAAAGCTAGAGAATAGATACATGCTTAAGTAGAATAGGAAATGTAACTTTAACTATACTTTTCGTTTGAAATTATTTAATACTTAAACATGATTGAATGTTTACATTATCTTCATTTGATAGTAAAAAAAATGAGATGTCCAAGAATAAATAACTTACTACAACATTATGATAGACTATTAAAAAAAGAATGTTTTTTTTTCTTATATAATAGACTTCTCGAATATTAATAACGTCTTTCAAGGATGAGTACTTTTTTCTCTGTTAATCACATACACGTCATTGCGGTTATGTATAATGTGAAATTAATTATACTGCAAGTGAGATGGTCTCATTGGTAGTTTGCTTTTATTTAACTATAAAATAAACATACATAATTATTTCATTCAAAAGTACGATGCA